AAATCCTGCTTTTTTAAAATAAGACTATTGGCCAAAACCAAGTCGTATTTATCTTTTAAAGACCTAGAAAGGGTGATTAATGCCTTTGTTACCTCAAGACTGGACTATTGCAACGCTCTGTATGTGGGTATGGACCAGGCCTCAATTAAAAGCCTGCAGCTACTCCAAAACGCAGCTGCACGTCTTCTGACTGGCCATGAAAAGCGTGACCACATCACCCCAATTCTGGCCTCACTACACTGGCTTCCAATTCGGTTCCGAATTGATTTTAAAATCCTTTTATTTGTTTTCAAAGCCCTAAATGGGCTGGCTCCGGCCTATATAGCCGAACTCCTCCATCGCTATACCCCAGCCAGAGCTTTAAGGTCTGCTGACCAGCTGTTGCTGATAGTGCCCAAGACCAGGCTCAAAACCCGAGGGCACCGAGCCTTCGCAGCAGCTGGCCCCAGGCTCTGGAATAGTCTGCCCCTCCATGTGAGGTCGGCCCAGACACTAGGGTTTTTTAAATCCTCACTAAAGACTCACTTCTTCTCCCTGGCCTTCTAGTCAGAGCGGAGCATGACTCCTGACTATTCCCTGTGTTTTTGTTTTTTATATTTCTGTTGTAAATTATTGTCTTTTATTGTGATTGTAGTAATGTGTTTTTATTACATGTACAGCACTTTGGCTCGACCAAAAATCGCTTTTAAATGTGCTATATAAATAAAACTTGATTTGATTTGTTTCAACCACTGCCGTCTCGCCGTTCCCCCGTGTCCCGCCCTCTCTGTCTGTCTGTGTCTGTTTCAGTTTCGCCAGCAAGACTGCTGGTAGACCAGCATAAATACCAGCTTCACTAGCATAGACCAGCTTAACTACCAGCTAAAACCAGCATAGACCAACATGACATCCATGCTGGGCTATGCTGGTTTAGCTGCTAAAGCACCCCACATGATAGCCATAGCACCCCCTAAGCACCCCCAAAAAATGTATGTGTCTTTTTTTTTTTTATGTGTGAAATTCATAATTTGAAAAAGGATTGATTCAAAAATAATATGCTACAGTACAGTACAAGTAGCCTCTAGTAGGTCTCTGTGTTTCATTCAAGCTCTGCTCTGTGTGTGTGTGTGTGTGTGTGTGTGTGTGTGTGTGTGTGTGTGTGTGTGTGTGTGTGTGTGTGTGTGTGTGTGTGTGGCAGGGGCCATTTTGTGTGCGTGCGTGCGCGAGCGAGCGAGAGAGAGAGAGAGAGAGCTTGCACCGGTACCGGAGATCGTTGTGGTTAGCATCTGGTGCTAGCTACGCTAACGCATATAAGGAGCTTTTTCAACAACAAGGTGGAGGGAGAACTCTCTCCTGTCAGACTGAGAGTCTCAGATAACCTCAGCTCAGGTGTCATGTGAAGTAAAGGACTCTCTCAGTGTTTAGATAGTTAACTTTAGTCTAAGTTATCTCAGTGGGTCACAAAACGGTTTGGTCACGGTTAGTGTAAATAAGTATTTCTGAGGCACACGTTTATATGATCATTATAGGTATTAAAAAACAAGAGCATAAATGAAAAACAGGTATGAAATACTATATGACAGTAAAACAAGAATACACTTTAAAAGGGGAGTGATTTGTAAAATATCCATAAAGAAATATAAAATCGGTTTACAGTTCTGTTTCATATGGGTGTTGAGAGATGTATCCATAGATCTCTTCATGTTGCTCTCAAAGTGCACCAGATTGATGCATTTAATTTCAATATTTAAAAAAAAATCTTCCCTGGGGATCATGCCCCCGGACCCCCCTAGAGGATGTGAGGTCCACTCCCCACTTATAAAAAAAATAGTACTTTACCCTGCTTACACCTATATGCCGTGAGCTGATTATCGAGCCTTCATTGTAACAGTCGCGGGTACACTGTGTATGTGCGTTCAAATTCAACTGTAGCCTCCGGGACATTAATGGGAAACCCTAAATGTTTGAGCACCCTCTATGAAACATCAAGCTACCCCACAGCACCCCCAAAAGAACATCTCTGGCGCCGCCACTGCTTCTTGGGTCCGAATGCTTCTTGTTTTGCGCCGTCCCATTCAAATGAAATCGCCGCCAATCATATTTCCACGCTCGCGCCAGGGCCGGGGGAGGGGTTACACGGCCCGCATCTTGTGCTGCATTCACTTGCACTCGGACATTAGAGACTTTCTCTCATAAATGTCCGATGAGCCAAAACTTTTCTTTCAAAACAAAGCTGCCTACTGGGCTGGCAGCTGGGGTGGCAAGGCCTATTTTTAGGGTGGCAGTTGCCACCCCATGCCACCCCGATAGATCCGCCCCTGGCTGGCAGTGACAATTGAATACAAATAGAATAGAATATAATTCCTTTATTGTCATCGCACCAGGTACAACGAAATTTAAAAAAGCAATCCTTGCAGTGTATTTCCACATAATACTAAAACATATATATCTATATAAACATATACACATATAAACATATGCTCACACATCCATACCAACATGCATACATGCCCGCACATAATTTAAATACAGTTTACAATATAAAAAACATAGGGATGATATTTGGCATCTCTGATGTCGATCAGTTAATAAATTAATAAAACTATTAAAAAGTAGTGCAGTTGCAAATTGTTACTGTGTGTGTGCTAGTTCAGCGTTTGACGGTGTTCAGTTCTCGTATGACTCTGGGGTAGAAACTGTTTTTCAGTCGGTTTGTCCTTGATTTAATTGACTTGTAGCGTCTACCGGAGGGCAGAAGAGCAAACAGGAAGTGTCCAGGGTGTGAAGAGTCTGCAATTATTTTGCCTGCTCTGTTGAGGCAACGTTGGCTGAAGAGTTCCTCCAGAGAAGGCAGTGAGCAGCCGATGACCTTATGGGCTGTGTTGATGACCCTCCGATTTAGCAACTTATTCAGGCTACTAGTGGAAAAGCAAGAAGCATTAGGATTTATTCAATTATGGCAAATCACATTGTAATATCTATATCAATAAATACAAAAAACACATTTAGATAATACAATTGAATATGTTTATAAATATATAAACTGTATCTATTTATTTGTATATGTTTGAATCACTGCAATTTTGTTTGCGTTGATTGCAGCACTGGTTTAAAAAAATGTAATAAAAAGTGTCATAAAAACTGTGTTCATCTTACTTACTTATTCAAAGTGACAGTGATATTTGAATACAAACACTTTAAAGGTCCCCTATTATACTCTTTTTCATCAATATATTATAGTTCTCAGTTATATACAAAACATGTCTCTGAAGTGTTTGTCTGAAACACCAAACAGATCATTGCAGCATCCCATAATCCCTTCTGTTTCAGCCCTGTTCCAAAAGTGCTGATTCTGTGTCTGTTACTTTAGATGAAAATAAGGAGCCCCTCCCCACGCCCCTCTGAGAGATATTTGGTTAAAAAAACCACAATGGTGCTCTAGGAAGAGATTCAGGTGATAAGGTGGGCGGGGGTTACCTTGGTTGGTTATTGGCTAATGGTTACACAACCCAAAAATACATTATGACATCATAAAGTGGCCAAAATCTGATCAGCTCATTTTCAGACAGGTTTTTATATAAATGGATCAGGACAAAAAGAGAGGGGTCTTTTTTCCTGAAACTTTCAGAATCTCTTTACACAGAGGGGACACATGTTGATGTATAAAAGACATGAAAAAGTCGATTTTGCATAGGTGACCTTTAAGATATTGGTGTTTTCACCTCTGTCTATGTACTGCTGCCATCTGGAATCTTTTATATATAGAATTCAACATCCTCTGGAGCGCTCCTACATTTTAAGAAAATTGATAACATTTGATAAATAACTGTTATCTGTAAAATATATTTAAAAGTTTTATAAGGCCCTGATAGGCATTGTACTTCCGGGTGTGATAAAGTTTCCCTTCAGCTACAGATAATTAGTTTATCTGCCGCTCTCTCTTTCTTCTCTGTTGATCTCTATTAGTCTCTGACTTTTCTTTACAAGGCCATCATTTACTCTTTAATGGACTTAATCACTTGTCCTCTATCTCTCCACCCACAATCCTCTGACGCTGGCCGACATTTCTAACTGAGGGAAACTCGTCCTGGAGGGTGTCGTCAAGACGACTGCATCTCTAAGGGTGACTGTGGTGACACCGTGGCAACCAGGGACTCCAGTTTATTCGGGGTTCATTACTGTTGGAGGTGACTGTAATGTCAAGCAGCTGCAGAGGAGCTCCAGGCGACAAACATCTCAACTACAGACAGAGTGTGTTCACAAAAGTTTAAACCTGAGCTGACTGACAGTTTGCTGACTTTCAGTTTATCTATACTGACTCAACATCCATAAGATCACTCAGCCCCTATTTTTATAAATGCCTTTGTCACACGCCTGAATCTGTCCGATAGAGAGGGGCGGATTAGACCAGAAAATAGAAAAATTAAAATCCCTCAATTGAATTTCATCTCCCCTTTCAAAACACCTGATTATGTAAAGGGTATTTGCGAGTGTGTAAACAGCCAAACTGTCAGACTGAGGTGGGGGAAGCTGTTTGGGATTGTAATTTTTGAAAATAACCCGGAAAATGTTTGATGTTTTTTTACCCTAGAGACACAAATATCACATGTCAGAGAGATGTGGCACTGACGTTTGTTTCATTCAGCAAATGAAACGCCCCACTTTGTTTTGTGACTCTTAAGCCTGTGGGAGGTGTGTGTGTGTGTGTGTGTGTGTGTGTGTGTGTGTGTGTGTGTGTGTGTGTGTGTGTGTGTGTGTGTGTGTGTGTGTGTGTGGTGTGCGCGTGTGTGCGTGTGTGTGTGTGTGTGTGTGTGTGTGGTGTGTGTGTGTGTGTGTGTGTGTGTGTGTGTGTGTGTGTGAGTGTGTGAGTGTGTGAGTGTGTGGTGTGTGTGTGTGTGTGTGTGTGTGTGTGTGTGTGTGGGGGGGGGGGGGGGGCTTCTTTATAAAAAGGTCTGGAGGTCATACCTGAAGTCAGTTTAGTGTCTGATCATCAGAGGAGCTGCTGTCACCAACAGGGACAATTCATGTAAGTTTATAGAGGGATCTCCCCCTCACTTCACTTATATTCATTTTTGTGATTTATTCTATTACATTTTTTTGGGTCACGTTCCGTTTTCTCTTCTATTCTAAGTTGCTTCGGTGAATGTGGTGTGTTTTGTTGAAATTGTGTTCATCAAACTGCTTTTGGATTATTTAAGGTTGTTTATGTTTAAAAGTAGTGATGCAATTTCAGTTTTATAAATCAATTTAATATATGTCGGATTTATCTTTCTAAAAAAAGGTATTCATGGGATTAACATAAAATCTAACAAAATGGAAATTTGGTAATCTGACATCTATACTTTTATTGCACTATGATGATCATTCTCTTATTATTATCATTGTAATCATAACATGTGCATTGTACAGTCATTGTTGCATCTATCATCATTGCATAATATAACTATCACAATGTGTATTTCTTGCATTAAGAATATTATTTAATATAATATTCACAATATCAAAATTGTTATTTTGAATATATATATATTTCTCTTATATTGTGTTTACTTTAAAGTTACTCCTAATTTGAATAGACATTTAGCATTTTTGTCTTGTCGTTGGATACATCCTGAGCTTCAGGCACTTCATTTCTAGATCTATTGGTTGGTCAGTTTACACGTTACTCATCCACTACTCCGACGAATGAGCTGTATTGTGGGTGTATTTAGATTGAAAGAAGGGTTGCTTATTCTTTTTAGGCGCTAAGCCGTCAAGTGTTTTATGCAGGGGGAAAAACAACAATAGATGATGTGTTTTGTTGCACAAGGTGTTTTAGGGTTTGACAATTTAGTTTTTTAAATCTCTGAAATCTTGTGAATTGATGCAGATATCCAAAGGTTTTTCAAATATAACAGCAGAAGTTGGAATATGTGTCTTTCTTGGACCAGGTCACTTTTTTGAGTGTTTTTCTTGTCGTTTTTGTTTCAGAAGATGCAGATGTCCCACAGACCTGTGCAGTGGCTCGCTGTCATGCTTCTCGTTGTTTTTACAGCTGCTCGGTGTCAACAGAACGAGAGGTGAGACTCCTGTTCCCACCTAATTTATTATTGATATTTATACATGATGCAAAATCGTGCAATACGTTTAGAAACTTTATTTAAGCTGTACAGTATGTCTTAGAGGAAGACTTTTAAAGATACAATATATATTATATCTATACAGAAAATCACAGCAAAACATCAGAATGTCTACAAAAAAGCAACCAGATTCTATAACAAAATCAGATATCGATTTTTCAGTGTTTTTCAGCAATAAATATCATGTTTAGGATGATCGCTTTGTATATGCGAGGGATGCATGTCTGTTGATGATTTTTAATATAACAGGATTTACTGTACATTTCAAGCACCTTTAATTCATAAAGATGTTTTTTCAAAAGTAAAAAAGCACTTTTTTATATTTAATATCATAATTTTACAGATAAAATCATAACCACTATATAATCATGCCTGTATAAAGCCTATATGCTTTAAATAATGTACACATTCACCCATTGAATGAAGACTACAACTAGCACTTATTATAGACATTTTATAATTCATCTTTTTTTTAAGTATCTATTTCTCCAACACACTATACTTGTGTACTTTGTTGTGCTTGCTTTCACAGTAGATGTTATAGGTTTATTTGTGTACATGATCAATGCAAAAGGCTTAAAATGGCCAATAAAGCATTACACGCAGTGGCGTTTTTATATGTACAAAAGTGGTGGGGCACAAAAAACTTAGATGTCTATATATAAGCTTCTGCAGTGACGTGCAGTGAGGTTCATGGCTGGTGAGGCACTGGCACTGACTCTTCAGGTTTACAAATATTATATTTTGACCTAAACCAAAATATAATATTATTTTCAAAAGCTTTTTTTGTCTGATGCTTCGATTAATTTTAAACAGACAGTTCAACAAAAGGATACCCAAAAAATGTCATTTTATCATTTAAATATTGAATTGTTCTCTCTTAGTAAGATCCCATTTTCAATAAAATGGCGGTCTTACCTTGACTTGAAGATGAAGTCCATTTGCCTATCCTTCTGGACAAACATTTCTATTACTTTTTTGTAAAAGTCCTCCTTATGTTCTTGTAGTTTCAAAAGTCTATCATAAATCTAATCCATAGATTTATGATAAAAAAATTATATAAGTAGGGTAGACATGTGGATGTTATCCGGCTAATCAAAACGTGCATTTATCTAACAGGTACGTTTCCCACAGATCTTATTTCGAGCTATTTTCTAAAATCCTCTGGAGAAATCTCATTGCTTTTTTGTGCTTACTTCCTGGTTTTAGGACGCGCCACTGCAGCTCTCTCGTCTCCTCTTCAAGCACCACACTTTTCGCGGCACACGTACTTACAGCCAATCAGCTCTGAATGATTTGAGATGACGTATGGTGGGGATGGTAGCTCCATGCCCCTCTGGTCATTATTTTTTTGCCACACACATTTCATTACAAAATACTCTGAGCATGCGCAGTGAAGTTTTTACAGTCACCGTTGACTTCACAGCGAGAGGAAGGGGCATAATCAGGTTTTGTCCCACATGGCTCTAAACAGCTCAATAGGCACACACTGTGACTGTAGACACACTAATTAGAAGAACACAGACTAAAACAGCAATGTACAGACGAATCAGATGATTAAACATGATCTTAAAATATATTTTATATATTTTTTTTTTTTTTTTTTTGCATTTTTGTAATCATTATTTGTAATACTTTCTGCTGACACTAGGTGGGGCTGTGCCCCACCTGCCCCTAATGACCAGTCGCCACTGATTACACGTCACAGATATTCATTGATAAATACACTTAACTTGCCACTGTATGTATTTAGAATCTGACTCTGTACTTGGATGAAATATCTGACCAGTCTTTCTCCTCCCTCTCCCTGCAGCCGTCGAGCTGTGAGCGAGCACCAGCTGATGCACGACCGCGGCCGAAGCATCCAGAGTCTCAAGAGGCTCATCTGGCTGTCCAGCGCCATCGAGGGTCTCCACACTGCCCAGACCCGCTCTACTTTCAACCCCACAAAGACCCTGAACCTGGCTCTGAATCCAGCGCTGGTGTCTGGGGCCGGGAGCCCACAGCCCCCCCGGGTTCAGAGCCTCCTGAGAGACTTCTTTAACCCTTACCTGACTCAACAGTCAGACAGGGAGGCCTAACATCACTTTGATGCTCCAACATGGAGCTACTGCACACATACACAAAAAGTTTTCTGTGTCCATTCTTTGTCCTACTGCAGATGTGCAGAAATGTCGTGATGTATAATCGAGGGCTGGGCGATACAAACAAGTAATGTTTTCAAGCATGGGGGGATTCACAATAAAAAAAACTACAAAAAAAGTCAAGCAAGACTGATACAAAACTGAAATATTTTGCCCGCTATGTGCAACACAGAGCTTGAACCTGACTTGTTGGTCTGGACGAGTTGTTTTTAAACTGTTTTGAGAACCACAGGTTTAGAGGAGGTGTTTTTCAAGTCAGAGAATGCAGACCTACTGCAGACAAAGTCTGGAACAAGATACCTCATCCCCTTTAGGTTTCCTGGATTGATCTTGACTATATATGATTTGATCCCATTGACACTATTGCTGTTTGACATGACGTTATACTAAACCAAATACATTTAGAGAAGGTCTGTCTTGAGACATGTATCACTTTGTGACTTAGGAGAGGGGAACATGTTTGCCCCAAACTATATCTTTGACAATTTAACTGCTGCATTAATTTGTATGTTGGACAGGACGGAGATAAAAAAGTGTTTAACTAAATCTAAAGTAATTAAAGCTGTCAGACAAATTTAGTGGAGTAAAATGATAACGTTGCATTAAATGTAAATATTCAACTGAAGTATGAATTTGTATTTAAGTACAGTAGTTTGACTCCACCACTCCTGAGAACTTCTTCTACCATAATACAGTTTTTTTCCTGTGGACACCAGAAAAAAGCCTAAACCATTAAAAATTCAAAGAGGACGTCCCTTGCTTTTGGTGCATTTTAAACTTCAAAATCCGTGCACAGTTTCATATTAGGAAAAAATAATGTTATCCTTGAATAGCCTGGGAGACCAAACTCAGGGCAAATGATGATTAGAACAACGCGAGATTTCCTTGATGGCTAACGTGAACTGACGTGAACTAGGCTAGCTGTGACAACCACTGTGACACCGGTACTGGTGATCCACCTCCAGCTGCAAATCGTCCCTCCGGTGCTCTACGTCTGATAGAGAGAAACGTATAAACTAACCACCCACAGAGGGGTCCTGTCTGCTGGCTTGAAGCGCCCACCTCGCCCCTCGGACTGTCCGCTGCTCTCGTCCTTTAATCGGCCAGGTCAGTCGGTGTTACATCCGTCAGTTAGCTGTCTCTGGGGTTAGCTCGTCAAGCTAACTTCAACTAGCTGCACTCATCACCGCAGGTGTCAAGAGTACACTCTAAATTCATCAATATTTTTAAAAGGCGATGATATTTTCATTAATGGTGGTGTGAATGAGTGATAATAAGCCAACATGAAGCAAATTATTTAAAAATATTAAAGTGACAACATTGTCTTCCGTAGCTACCAGCTACAGTAATGCTAATTTTCAACAGTAGCAATACTGGAGGAAGCAGCTAGCATGCTAGCATTAGCAAACCGCTGGTAGCAGGTTGTTTTGCTAACGTCAGTAGCTCATGTGTTGCTGACAGTCACAAGAAATGGTTTAGTACCACAGACACGGTCCATCAAGTAGATCACACACTGTCTTTGGTTGTTACAGTTGGCAACAGTTATCTGAATAAACCCTGTCAATGTCTGCAGATAATGGGGTCAAATGTGGTATTCATGTATTCATAGTTGATATTCATGTCAGGTACTTAGTGCAGTCATGTGGTTAGTACTGTAGTACACTCTGATGTAAGCCCTGGTGCTAACAATAACACGTGTGTGTTCAGGGCAGTTTCTGATCATTTTGGTGGTGGAGAGTAACTAAGTATATTTACTCAACTACTGTACTTAAGTTCAATTTAGAGGGACCTGTACTTTACTTGAGTATTTACATTTTGTACTGCTTGATCCTCCACTCCACTTGATTTCAGAGGCAAATATTTTCTTTATATCCTACTACTTTTTTATTTAATTTGATAACTTAAGTTACTTGAGTGATTTAAATTATTATTGCAAAACATGTTCACCACTAAATAATGATGTATCATTAGACATTATTGATCTGGATACATATATATGTCCTCTTTATATACAGTCTTTGGCATGAATACCTTAATAATTAACCTTTTGTTTAATAATATAATGTAAATGTTTCTGAAATGAGCCACTAGGCTTAACTTTTACTTTTGTATAATTTACTTTTTTCAATGTTTTACTTTTATTTTTACACTGGCATTAGTCATTTGAAATAGTCAAGTACTTTATCCACCCCCGGTGACTAATCTCTCTCGCCTGATATTAGACTTATGTTTCACTAGTTATTATAATATATAAACCAGTGGCAATAACCCGGACCTGAAAGATATTGATAAGATATTTATACAATTACCTTTCACTCTGAGAAACTGTGATGGACATTCTTCAATTCTTTTTTCACCTATTATCAGACTTGTCTTGGGACTGATCTGATCGAATTTTAATAATGGGTGCCGATCCTGACGTAATGAACTAATCTGATATCAAACTGACATTCCATATATTGATCCAGCTGGCCTATTGTCGTGTGTTTAGCTCTATACAGTATTTAATGGTGCAATTATAAGCCTTCCTAAAATATTGTATCACAAATAAATAATATGTATTACTTAAAGCTCTTTAAAGATGTCAAGAAGTACTTATATATTTTTGTCTCCCAGAATTATTTGAGATTGAGGTACAGTTTGTGCTGGGCCGTAAACCGCCAAAACGTAACATGAGACATTGCTTACTCAATGTGTCCATAGTTTGGAAATATTTTATTCTTGAAATACAGAAAAGCAAGAGAGCAGCTTGTAATGTGTGTAAAGTCAACATCCTGAGCGGCTTCTTACAATAATGCTAATTTAATTTAGCATCTGCAAAAGCATCACGTGAAAGAACCCCAGGAGTTCATGCTAGCCAAATACTAAGTATCTGTATCTGCACATATTAAAATTCAGGTATTGGTTTAGACCTGACAAAAAGTATAACAAATAATCATCAGATTAAACAATGATGAAGCGCTCATCAAATATATTTTCACGGGACAGTATCGTGACAGTGGTCTCTTGTTTGTACGTATTGTGCAGCCTCATCCAGCCCCACTGTGGATCTTTAGCCCCTCCGGCAGGACAGTGGCAGAGGCGGAGCCAGAGCCATCGGGGACCAGAGCAGCAGGCAGCAGGGCTCCATGAGCGCCACGGGGCAGCAGCAGCAAGGGGGGGGCCTGCGTTCTCGCCGAGGCCTTGGCCGGGACAAGGACCCTGGGCCGGGCCTGGGCATGGAGGCGGCCTGCTGGCTGGCCCCCGGAGTGCTGCGCAGGCTGATCGAGCTGCCCTCACCCCCCCTGTCCCGACACCAGCTCAAGAGACTGGAGGAGCACAGGTGAGTCAGCTGACTGAGACGCTCAGGGAAAACCTTACATCAGGGGTCAGCAACCTGTTTGATATGAAGTGCCATTTAAAATAAATAAATGTGATCAGTGTGCCAAATCCACATTAAGATCACTATGACTCGCGCATGCATGCACGTGCACGGTTGTGGCATGACCACCCAAACAGAAATATATGGACACAAGATGTGTGCAAATGTATTTAGGTCCTCACCTCCTCTAATGGGGTCCGGGGGCATGCTCCCCCGGGAAGATTTTTTTTATATTGAAGTTAAAAGCATCAATCTGGTGCACTTTGAGAGCAACATTAAGAGATCTATGGATACATCTCCCAACACCCATATGAAACAGAACTGTAAACAGATTTCCTTTTTATTTATGGATATTTTACAAATCACTCTTAATAACAACTTTTTTTTACTGTCATATAGTATTTTATACCTGTTTTTCATTTATTCTCTTGTTTTTGTATAACTATAATGATCATATAAAGGTGTGCCTTTACCTCACTCAGCTGAGGTTATCAGCCTCTCAGTCTGACAGGAGAGCTCTCTTCCACCTGGTTGTAGAAAAAGCTCTTTATATCCGTTAGCATAGCTAGCTAACCAGATGCAATAATCCCCGGTACCGCACTCTCCAGGGTTCCCGCGGGGTCTTAAAAAGTCTTAAAAAGTCTTAAATTTGATAATCTGAATTTAAGGCCTTAAAAAGGTCTTAAATATGACCAAAAAAATAAGAAAGGTCTTCAATATGATTTAGAAGGTCTTAAAAATGATGGGATTTGAATGGTACTTCTGTGTGGCGATCGCGTCTAAAATGTGTTTTGGGGGAAATATCCGGGCTGCAAAGTAACCAGTACGGTAATAGCCTTTCAGTTCCCCCAACAATTTGTATTGAAATAAATCAACATGGAACCAGTAATCACTAACTTTGTTTCCCCCGGCCCCTTATCGGAGAACACCCAGCTAGTAACCTAGCAACCAAGCTTCAGCTAGCGGCAGTCAGAAACTCATGTGTCACACACACACACACACACACACACACACACACACACACACACACACACACACACACACACACACACACACACACACACACACACACACCACACACACACACACACACACACACACACACACACACACACACACACACACACACACACACACTAGGGCTGCTCAATTATGGCATAAATCATAATCACGATTATTTTGGTCAATAATTGATATCACGATTATTAAATACGATTATTCATTGACTTTGAAAACATCCATTTATTGAACTTTAAAACATATAATAATTTGAACAGTATCTTTTTAACTGTTGATTACCCTGAACATATAATTCAACTGAAAAACCAATACAAAAATGTATTAAATAAATGATATATTTAAATAAATAATATCAAAATAATAAATACCAATAAACAAGATCAACAAATATTTTGGAGCGCACTTCCACAAGCTACTAAACATATAAATATGATAAATAAAAAATAATTAGACTAAAATTAATTAGATCAAATATGTTGTAGTGCACTGTCACAACCTAGCAAAGCTAAATAATAGTTTTTTTTAATTATGTTGTTTTTGTAATTGTGGCAGGCCAAAATCGTAATTGCGATTAAAATACGATTAATTGCACAGCCCGAACACACACACAGACACACACACATACACACTTTTTGGCTAACACAGTTCTGTACTGTTATGCTGTTATGTTCAGTCATTGTTCTTATGTTGAACATGAATACATTTGCTTTGTAAGTAATTATGGGACGTATTTCTTCTTTCATAGCAATTTTCCTTCATAATTTCTTGCCGTGAAATAGGTCTTAAATTCTATTCAAAGTGGTCTTAAAAAGTCTTAAATTTGAGTTGGCGAAACCTGCAGGAACCCTGTCTCTCTCTCTCTCTCTCACACAAAATACGCTCGTGCCACACACACAGAGCCGAGCTTGAATGACACACAGAGACCCAGAAGTAGTTGTAGGCCTACTGTAATGTAGCATAACGATGGCGTTATTGTATGATCAGTATGACAGACAGGGGCGGACTGGGACTAAAAATCAGCCCGGGAATCTCATCCAGCCGAGCCCACGTGAACTGTCAACGGGGGGGGGGGGGAAACGGTGGACCTAGTGGCCCGATGGCCAGTCCGCCACTGATGACAGATGAGCAGATCGCCACTGGGCTTACAACTAAAGACCTGTGGCATGTGTACAGCTCTGTGTACTACAATTTTGGAAGTGCTGGAGCGGCGTTCTGGGGGCCGGGCTCTCCGTCAGCACTACACCACGTGATGACACGTTACGCTCGTGTTGTGTTCAAGGAACCTGTCCTTGGTCAGGAAAAATAGGCAGTCGCTTGGTTAATTCTGTTGCGGTCTAGATTTCTTTAATTTTTTGTTTCCTTCTGGGCTGCATGGCTTCCTTCTGCAGGTAACAGGGAGACGCGCTCTGGCGGCGGTCTCGTTCTGGATCCGAAAATACAATTTAAATATTTTGCACACTTATTCCACTTATTCCTAGTGTGCCACTGGTTACGGTACCGCGTGCCTAGGGTTGCCGACCCCTGCCTTACACTATAAGATAGATCATTATTTATTCCTAAGGGAAATACTTGTTCCAGAGATTGCTAAAAAATGAAACGACATGGTAATAGAACTTAAAAGCATACCATGGTTGCAAAATAATTAAATAAAATTCCAGTTTCACATACATTAACAAGTAGGATACATTTAGTCAAATCATTTAAAACTTAGTTACTGTTTGAGATTGATCATTCTCAACATTTTTTTTTTATGTTTCTGTTAATATCAGAAACGTATCTGATTACATAGGGTAGGCATACCAGTATTTGATTACAATTACACATTCAAAATTGGCATCATACAGCTCTGGAAAACATTAAGAGACCACTGCAGAATGATCAGTTTCTCTGGTTTTACTATTTATAGGTATGCGTTTGAGTTTGTTTTATTCTATAAACTACTGAAAACATTTCTGTCAACAGACACTGGAATGGAATGGCTGCCAATGCTACCATACATGTAGAGATTGAGATTTAAGAAACATTTGGATTGTTTTTTTCCAGAGCTGTATATATTAAGAACAGTTGTACAGTTGTTTATTATAATAAACTATATAACAATTGCAGCTTTGAAAATTGCAATCTTTCCTATAGCATTTCAGTATTAAAACAAGTTATCTTCCATCCCTAATACAAGTTAGTTTTATTTGTATTCCACTGCTCTCATCACGACTCCTATATTGTGTCACCATCATTATTTCTGATAAATCTCCGGTGTAAATCCTCTCCTGGCTGTTCCCCCCCCCCACAGGTACAGCAGTGCGGGGCGCTCCCTGCTGGAGCCGCTGATGCAGCGTTACTGGGAGTGGTTGGTGGGACGAGTCCCCGCCTGGATCGCCCCCAACCTCATCACCATCATCGGCCTGGCCACCAACGTCTTCACCACCCTGGTGCTCATCTACTACTGCCCCACGGCCACTGAACAGGTCAGGGTTCATCTTAAAACATTTGAAATGTTAAAATTACTAATTCACTCCAGTTGCTTCTCCATATTGGATTTGTATCTGTAATGATACTGTGAATAAAAAACAAAATATTATGCAAATCACCATGAAAGGTAGCTGCAGGAAGGGTTTTAATGTAAAACATCTGCAGTAGGTTTTTGTGAGTTTTTACAGCAAAGGAGAATACATTAGAATAAATCCATGAATAAAAACATGTTTTTGTGTTGTTTAAAAGACACTGAAGGAGCTGCAGAGTTGATGGAATATAAATTGTCATTAAGAGCAAATTAATGCAGATGAAGAAAAACTATTGCTATTATGTTGTAATACGAGACTACATATTGTTTTGAGTTTCTTATACTGTCAGAGTAGTCTTTTCCTGGTTTTGAGGCTGCATTCCATTATATGTGAATGTGCTTTCTGAACTTACTGGACTGTCCTAGCTGTTATACTATTCACCTTTACCCACTTAATCATTAAATCCACTTTACTCATGATTATTTATCAGAATTTCTCCATGTGTAAATAATGTACATTATTGTCCTAATATCATCATTGAGGTATTTGATCAGAAATATCGTGATATTTTAGTTTCTCCATATTGCAGAGCCCCAAAGCACATCAGAAACAGGGAGGTTTTACTTAATTAATAACTTAATTCAATAGTTGAGTATCAATATCTTAAGGCAGGTATAGTATCAAGTCATTATTTTGGTATTGTGACAACACTACACTGTTAATGAATTGTTATTATACCGTCTGGGTCACCTGATCTGAGATCTCTTTTACCTGTTATGTGCTTTGAGTTTGATATGAATGTGTGTGTGTGTGTGTGTGTGTGTGTTTCAGGCTCCTCTCTGGGCGTACCTGCTGTGTGCGGTGGGTCTGTTCATCTACCAGTCGTTGGACGCCATTGATGGGAAGCAGGCGAGACGCACCAACAGCAGCTCTCCGCTGGGCGAGCTGTTCGACCACGGCTGTGACTCCCTCTCCACCGGTCAGTTCTCTCCGGCTGGACTCTGGTCCACTTTGTCTTTATTCTGAGACTTGTTCTCTAAAGCTGACTGTGTTCATGTGTGTGTGCAGTGTTTGTGGTGTTGGGAACCAGTATAGCCGTGCAGATGGGCACCAACCCGGACTGGATGTTCTTCTGCTGTTTCGCCGGGATGTTCATGTTCTACTGCGCTCACTGGCAAACATACGTGTCGGGAACGCTGCGCTTCGGCATGTAAGTCAAGCGGCTTGTTATTTGTTGGTTTGATGGTTTAAGTTATAATGTTTTCATTTTACCCGAATACCTGATTTTAAATGATTGAAAACATGTTTTTTTCTTGCATTCAACAAAAACATACAACATGCACTATTATTAATTTTGTCTTAAATTGTATTATTAATTTTACAATTCAAATTAATAACAGAAACACTAAGGCATTATATTATATATTTAAATACCCACAAACAAAAAAACAAGAAAACAATACAATTATACAACAACAAATCTTTCTCTTGGTTTATTGGTTAAAAATACACACAGTAAGAGAGAATTGAAAAAATAAGCAAACTCCAATATATATATTCTATTATTAGACATTAAAACATATATGTGTGGGGGAAACTTCTGTGTAGCAATGCAGGAGGAGTCACCGACTCAGGAAGGAGACACGGGGAGAGCTGGAGCTTTGATGTCAAACACTGATGGTTTATTTAGGAGCTTCGGCCGGAGAATTCACAAAACAAGTCCAGAGTCAGAGGTCTGACTTCACGGTAGAGTTGCCACGTCAATTCTGAAGAGCCTCTCTCTCGATGGACCTTTTAACTAGTTTGGAGAGAGTAATCAACATTCTTGGGGAGATAGACTAAACAGCTGGGGACACTGAATTATTTGCGTCTGACGCTTATGGCCTCGAAGATTTCACACCTTGGAGTCCACAAACCCCAAGAAGGAAGTGTTCCAGTGTACCCACAACAATAAACCATTTGTGACCGAGAGTTGCCCGGTCATAAACTGGTAACAACAACATATGGCTGAAGCAGCCCCTTCCTTAAGGGAGATAACAGACGTCAGGGTTGGTCATAAACGTCAAAGGGCAAAAGGTGGATATCTATGAGAATTATTCCCCAACAATATGTACAATATATAAAATGAAATGAAAAATGAAAGGGCTGCACATTTTTGGAAGAAATGTACAAAACATTTATCATCCTTTTATCTAAATCAGTATTACAAGAACAGTACATTCATGTGTAGGGATGGGTACCGAGCCCCGGTATTAAACAGGCCCCGGGGCTGAATTATTAAAGACCGTGGTACCGTTAAGCTCCGACGTTATCGGTCGTTTTATCGGTACTGGAGACATGTAAAAAATATGTCATATGTATTATTGCTACACAAGCATTATATTGCAGTTTTAGTGTCGCCAACTCCGTTTCTAATACGCAAAAAGCGTGCAAAATGCGTCGTCTTAGTATTTTCAATCTCTCTCCCCCGCCTGCTTGCGAGGGGGCGGGGCAGTTTACACACACGCAGCTGCTACATGCAGCAACACACACACACACACACACACACACACACACACACACACACACACACACACACACGGAGGAGATGGCGGAGAGAACGCGCTCCGAGGTGTAGTTAAACTTTACCCGTCTCGATGTGGACAATGCTCGTTACCTAAAGTGCAATAAGAGTTTAGCATGTAAGGGCGGTAACACGAGCAATTTGTCTAAACATTTAGCAAAAGTGCACCACGTTCAGACGGAGAAATGCACCGTTTTCGACTGTCTTTCTAGTAGCTCTGTAGCCCCATCCACGAGTAACGTTTCCACGTCAGGTGTTATGTATGCTAGCAGCAACACACGGAGTAAACTCAATTAAACAAACATGGGTTAATGATTAGAGGTAACGGAGTTATTTATTTTGTTAAAGTTTCAGCTATTCTGTTCACAGTTCTGTCATCAGATTATTTAGTACGATTTGTTAAAACATTGTTGTTTCTTTTGATGTGAAATATTATGTATTTAATTTAAATAAAAAGCAATGTTAGTTTTGTTCACAATTTGTTTAGTTAGTTTACCTTATTTCTTTCTCCAAAAGAACCGATAAGAGTACAGTTAAAAGACCGGACCGATAAGCGGTATCGATAAAAGTAGTAGTACCGTTAAAACCTTAACGATACCCATCCCTATTCCTGTATTTACTCTCTAAAGTCAAACAAATATGGTGCCAAAATCTGAGAAGCCGGTTAGATTAACAAAACAGACAAGAAGCGCGCTGACATTGAAGTTAAACTAAAATACTGAGTAAGGAAGTTCTAAAAACTCCACATTATTAATACTTTATATTTATAAAACAATAATATTACATGCATTTATTTAATATATCACTTTTCGAAGGAATCACAAAAACTTTGCAAAAAGCAATAACATTTCTTTAAAGCAAACAAACGCATGCGAAAATGGATGTATTCTGTGTGTAGATTTGACACAACAGAGGTGCAGATGTGTGCATCAGGATTACAGATGTTCACAGCAGCTGTGGGTCCCTGTCTGTGGAACACCACGGTAACCTCCCGCTGCTCACTGCGTCTCCTTCCACAGCGACCTCTGACCTCCACTCGCATGTCGGTTCTGCTTAAAGCTGCAGCCAGTAAAACATGGCTCTACTGTAACGTCGGCTGATCTAAAAAATCCTAATATGTTTGCTAATTCTCAATTTGCTAATTAGGAAATTAGATTTGACTTTGCATTACCAGGTTAGACAAATGTCCATGTGATTGAGTACAGACTGACAGCAGCCTGTGGAGCACAACTGTGGAGTTCCAATATTTACATTTTCCTTCCTTTAGTTGGAATGATGAGAACAAATTCTGAATAATCTACATATTCCTAAACTTAATTTTCTAACTACTGAAAACAATTATATAACTGCTCTGAAAAGTGAAATTAAATATGATATTTTACAGTGAGAGCAGAAGAGCTGCGGTATAATTTGTGCCTTTCTAGTAACATTTCTGTCCTTTGCCCCAGTCTCTGAAAAGGTAATGGAGAGAAGTGATTGTGTGCTGGGCAAGTTACTACAGGCTGTGAATGATGAGGAAAATGTTTCAGCTCTATTGAACTCGTGTATCTAGACAGTCTTGTCTTTCTGTCTAAGAGTGACGTGCTCAGATTTGAGAGGCCCTATTAAACTCATTTTCAGGTTTATATTTGTATTTAGTGTCTCTCCATGCTTTAATGTTCAAAAAGGTCTTTATTTTTCTCTTACTGCCTGTGCTGCAGCACCTCTTTTCACCCTCTGTCTGAAACCAGAGCCCAGTCTGTTCTGATTAGTTAGCTGGCTGGCTCTTGTGATTGGTCAACCGCTTAGAGATGTCCCGCCCCTTAGCCTATCACGTACAAGTTGTTGAAGTGCTAGCCAATAGAAGCATGAGTTGCATAGTGATGTCACACTGTAACGGAAGGAAACAAAGGAGTCCAATGGAGGCGTTTCACGCAGGGGGGGGGGGAGTGTGTGGGAGAGAAACTCCCTCTGGAGGGAACACAGGGATTCTAGCCGTTGCAGACCATTTACATCCTCAAAAACCTATAGAACACACTAGAGGAGAGGGAGAACCCCATCAATCATAATATGGCCTCTTTTTAAGTACTGAGCTGCAGTCAGGACGTGGTTAACTTAGCTTATAGGGGTGTTGAAATTAATCGTTTCTACGATGCATCGTGATGCGTAGGCCTGTCGCGATAATCGATAAATTGACTTATCGTACGATAAATAAAAATGGACTGGATAACTTTTCTGAGCTCGATAAATAGCCGTTTACATAAGAATGTGACCAGCATTTTAGCCAGGAGCGCTGTGGCTACCGGCCACGCGCGCTGTGAGGGGCGGGGCTGACACACAGCCAGGTCAGGACACTGACACTCCGCGTGCACGTGCAGCAGCGCTGCAGCCAAATTAATAATGTAGCGACAAGCGGGAGACAACGTGTGACTTACTCACGGGGAATTTAAAGTGAAATGGAATTGGTTACAAAACCTAACTACACATCTCGATTCTCCGGTGTGGCAGTATTTTGGATTCAAGCCAAATCAACGAGGCGAACCTACGGACTTGAATGAGCCGGGCGGTGTGTCGCAGCGGTGTGTCGCATTTGTTTAAAAAAGGTAGCGGCAAAAGCAGGCAATACCACGCATTTTAAACTACACCTAAAACATAACCACCCCATTCCGTTTTCCCAGCTGGTAGCAAACACGGCAGCTGGAGATGGAGAGCCCCCACCTTCCCGACAGTTTACAATCAAAGATGCATTTGCCCGACAATGCAAACATGTTGGTGTTCCTTGCTCGAAAACTTTGAAAAACAGATTTGAATATGGCTTGTTGAGGCATCTGGGTCTTTGTATGGACAGTGGACTGTACACTTGACTGTTGTTTTAAGGAGGGTTTTTTGCTTGTGAGACAATGTGTGCTCATATTTATATATATAGATAGATAGATAGGTAGATAGATAGATAGATAGATAGATAGAGAGAGCTCTGTTTTCCAGCCTGAGTCTATTTAATTTGTTGTTTTGGTTGTGTGTGATTTAATTAATTTATTATAATTTAATTAATTTGTTTTATTTATTATATATCATTTATATATTTTAATATTATTTCACATTTCATTTGCAATGTTGAATGTTCAATAAAAAGTTATGTTTGAAAGGATGTACTTGAATTATTATTATATATTATCATTATGTCAGTGGTCTAAAATGGTCTTACAACGGTGCCGACAATATTATCGTTTATCGCAATAATTTCCAGGAAAATGTATCGTCCAACAAAATTAATTATCGTGACAGGCCTAGTGATGCGGACGTGGGCGATTCTGCATCGATGCAGGGACAGAACGTAATCGATTATAGCATAGTAACGTTGCTTCCTGATCTTCCGGCCGCGGCTGGACAATAACGTTTTTTTCTTTTTCTGTCACACGAATATCAAATCGGTCGGTGACGCAGAGATCGGGGAACAGAAGTGACAGCGGCACAGCGACTCCAAACACGGAGCAGTCTGCTTTCTCCACCAACCCAAGTGCCAGTCCAGAACCAACAGCAGAATGACCCGCTCTGAATCAGTCCGTGTCGCTGCGGCTCAGAGACACACATCGATTTATGTTTTTGAAAAACACTTGTTGTCGTCATGTCAGGTTTTTGGTGGATTTAATCAAGTCTTGGATTGCAGAGTATGAATGTCCTCTTGCTATTTTCAGTTGATAAATACGTGTGTAAAGTTTGTGAAGGCAGAAGGAAAGTTTCCGCGATCACCGTCTCCTCTCTGCTGCTCCAAACCCCGCCCCCCCCCCGAAAATAATGAGTGACAGGCTGATGAAACTTTATTATTCACTTAATCACTGATTGAGATATGATGAAGCTAACTTAATCTCATACATTCATGGGATTTATGTAACAGTAAGACAGAGAATGTAACTGTGCACCCACATGCAGTATTTTTATTTTTATATCCTGTTGTAAATACTCCTGTTGTCTGCTGTGTTCAGACTCAAGTCATGTTTGTGATGCCACATTCAGGACATTCAGTGTCTTTTTTTAGCAGAGACCGTTGCTAGAAGCTGCAGCTAGACTGCAGAAGCATTAGTTTTTAGTTTTTGAGGATGGAACAACTTCACACACAGATATAGGGAGGCTAGACCTATACAATTGGTTTACTTTGGTTTATAATTGAATGTCAAGACATTTATGTTATGGATTTCTGACGCACTTTCTAAATAATAAAAAGAGAGTTCATATTTATCTTGCATGTGTTCATTGATGAAAAAGAAGCCATGTGCAGTAATATAGAAAATTGAGGATGCAACGCATTGTTATGCATCGTGATGCATCGGGATATCGAATCGAATCGTTTACAGGATCATCGTAATCGAATCGTGAGACCAGTGAAGATGCACAGCCCTATTAGCTTAGCATAAAGACTGGAAGTAGGTGGATTGCTGATTGCATTTTAATGAAGCTACTTTTCTGTTAAAAATCCTTCAAAATAACCGTGCTGTGCAGAAGCACCCCACAGTGCTCCCCCAGCTCCAGGTTCAGCAGCGTGTTGTGGGAGAGGCAGCAGGAGGGCTGCGTGCTGCTGCTGGTCCTCACTAATCCTCACTGTCCTCTCTGCTTCCTCCTTCCTCTCAGCATTGATGTGACTGAGGTGCAACTCTTCATAATAATCATGTATTTGCTGGCCGCCGTGGGAGGATCTGCTTTCTGGCAGTCACTGGTAATTTATGGGTTTTAATTCCTACAGATTGAGATTAATGAGACTGATGATGTTGTAATAATGTAAACATGTTCATTTCTTCTTGCTTTTACATTATTGTGTACTGTCATTTTTATCAGAAAATAACTAATTTACCATTCTCTAATACTACTTTGATTAAAGATTGATCAACACATTTTTGGACGTAAATGTCCAATATGTGTTATTGTTACTTCATTTCTGTGTTTTGATTTCTAGATTCCGATCCTAAATATCCAGATGAAAATGGTTCCCGCCATCTGCACTTTTTTAGGAGCCATCTTCTCCTGCACCAATTACTTCAGAGTTATTTTTACAGGAGGTGTGGGCAAAAACGGATCCACGATAGCAGTAAGTCATTTTAGTTTTTATTATATTTATTTATTCTTTTAACATCCAAATAACAACAAATACATGATATGCTCTGACAAAAAGAGAACAGACACTATCTGTGTTTGTCTGTCATAAGATTGTTAGATCTTCTCATCCGCATGATTACGTGAATTAACATTAGATCTGTTGTGACCCAAACTCAAGTATTATTTAATGCTATATCTGATAAGCTTTCTATGTGTGTCTGTATGCCCCACCATGCAGTATTGTTTTGATATTGAGAAATACTGTGTGCTTCTATGTTGCAGTCATTGCTACATAATGGTACAAATACCAGTAGTTAAAAGTTTCTGATTAGAATAGACAGATTTTTATTAAATAAGCATCAGTTCATGTTGCAGATGTTTATTATCTTATTAAAATGATCTTTGTTTTTGTGTGTCTGACCTCAGGGAACCAGCGTCCTCTCTCCAGTCTTACATATTGGTTCAGTTATTATTTTGGCGATGATGATATACAAGAAGTCTGCTGTCCAGCTCTTTGAGAAACACCCGTGTCTTTATATCCTGGCGTTTGGCTGCGTCTCGGCCAAAATCACCAATAAATTAGTTGTAAGTCAACTCTACTTTTATTAGGAGCGCGGCCAAATGAAAAGATTTGAATGCTTTGCAGAGATTTTAGTGCCAGAATGAACCTGTTGTGTTGTGATGCTGACTGTGTTTTTATTTCTGTCTGCAGGTAGCACATATGACAAAAAGTGAGATGCATCTCCACGATTTAGCCTTCCTGGGACCAGGACTACTGTTCCTGGATCAGTATTTCAATAGTTTTATCGACGAGTACCTGGTGCTGTGGATTGCATTGGTAAGTATTTGTTTAAATCTACTCAGCAGTAACATATGTGTATATGTAGTCAGGTTACGTCCTGAGTAATCAGTAATGTAAATAACAATGAGTCATTATTTTCTGTACGTAAGAAAGAAAATAATACATGTCAGGAATAAGAGATGAAAACACTCTTATGTCAAAATTGTGAGAAAGTAAGTTACAATTATTAAATTTGAACATGGTAAGTCACAATTAGGAGATATTAGGGTCAGTTAAAAGTATGATTGTATACATTAACAATGAGATATTATAAAACTGAAATGCAGTCCAAATTTGGACTTTAACGATGTTAAATATCATTTGACATGAGATAAGTCAAACATTTTAAAATATAAATCAAAAAGTATGATTTTGATTTGACACATACATATTTATAATAATCAAATGTTGAGATACTGAGTTCAAATGATTTTATGAATTCAAACCATGGGATAGTAAGAGAAAATGATCACATATTAAGTCAAAAGTATGATTTTTATCATTTGAAACATATTTATGATCAAATCGAAATTAAGATACTTAGTAAAAATGTATACTGATATGCAAAGTCAAAATTATGAAATATTTAGTTCAAATAATGATTTTAAGACTCAAAACCATGAGGTTTGAATGTATGTTTTTATAAATAAAACCACGAGATAAGAAAACATTATATAATAACTGAAATGTATGATTTTATTTATGATAAAGTCAAAAGTAAGATACTGAGTAAAAATGATCAGACAAAAGTCTGAAATTCTAAATTGTGATCATAGTTCAAACTATGAGAAAGTAGGTCAAATAGAACGATGATGAGCTTTTTAGGTAGCGATGAGGTAACTGAGACCCTCCTGTCAGGCATGTTTCCTCAGTGTGATTCTGTTTCCCTCTCTCTGCAGATCATTTCCTTCTTTGACTTGGTGCGTTACTGTGTCAGTGTTTGCAACCAGATTGCCTGCCATCTTCACATTTTCGTTTTTAAAATCGCGCCTTGTTCAGTGCTCAGCTCCGCTCCTCACTGAGGACACGCCGCCATCACTGACTCTTCCTTCCCGTTAGTCGCGCTCTTCTTTTCTTCCTCTGTTTTCCACGTAGCGATGCAGGGGATGGCGTGGTGTAAAAGTATGTGCTTCTGCCAACTGAATGTGTGGACAAATAATATATATTAAGATACTGGAGTATTACTGTCTTTGTTTCTTTTTCACACGTGCAGATTTTGAATTTGTTTCATCTTCTGCCGCAGTAATAACAATTCTCCTTCTGACAAACTGGTGAGCAGATACTTCAGGAGAGTACAGGTGCTACTCGGTGTGTTCCAGGAGAGAAACTTCATGTGTTTTAACTGTACGTGTGCAAAGAAAAAATGTATAGGACATGAATCAAACTCTTTGCTTTTCATGATTATCATTTTTGTAATATTTGCATAACTTTACCTTTTTGCTATTGTAAATACATACTGTTACAGTGTCTGCTTTTCTTTTAAGTTAAAATCCTGCTTTGACACATGTATATACCCTCATGTTTATTATTTTAATACAACTTTATCTCCTGCACATTAACAGAAACTGCGACTGATCAACAAAAATGTGGTTTTGGAGGAAACTTAATGTCGATCTTAGAGTATTGTTATTGCAAAAAAACTATCCAACAATGTTTTTTAATTTAATATGTTCTACTGAAACCCCTCCGTTAGCCGACACATGCAACTTTTTGGGCTTTTTCCATGTCTGGGTATGGATGTTGTGTATTTATTGTCACATGTAGTGTTATTTGCTAATATATATTCTTATAAGACTTGGGCCTTAAAATGTATTAAAGACACTCCATGTACAAAAGAAAAAAGGAGAGCCACAATCAGAATATTTTACGAAAATATCCAAACTCAAGGTTCATCCAGATGTTAACGTTTGCAGGTAGGCATTTTAAGTTAAAAATGTAAATGATTGCTCAGATTTCCAAAAATATTGTAGTTGTTGGGAACAAAATAAGAAATGTCATACATGTTTCTCCTCCACCAGCCCCCTCTTCTCACCGTCAGTGCTTTTCCTTCACTCGCACCTTCTTTTTATATTTTTCAAATTGTCAACAAATCCTAGGAAAAGACTGAACAACGTGTTAATCCGTCTCTTTACATTTCCTGCCTTCCTTACTCTGTCTGTATCACTCAGCCTCAAACTTATTGGATCTTATACTTTAAAAAAATATAAAAAATAAAAAGGTTTTATGCTTAAAAAAAAAAAATGCTGACTTGTATCCAAAAACAGCTGGTTACTGTAGCTTTTTAACAAGTGTTACTGAAACGGGAGGAAAGGGTCCATTTGTTAGGGACTACTTTCAGTGGCGGATTAATCCCCATCTGGTACTGAGTGTTTGTGGCCAAATGAACTACTGTGTGTGCGTTCATGAAGGAACATGTCAGTGCAACAGTGAGGCGCATTGATGTGTTTTATTGGTTATACATATACGTGTCTTTGGACCAATTCATTTCTGGTTATTGGCCTTTTCACAAAACGCGTTGACAAGAGCAAATGACACTCCTGTATTACCAGTGGATGCTGCAAACACTGTTTTGAAAACTTGAAACCCTAAATGACAATTATTCTATTTATCAAATTATCTACTGATTCGTTGAATGTCGTAAAATATTGTAAAAAAATGTCCATTTCACTTTTTGATGTTTGTTAATGTCAAAGATTCAGTTTAAAGTGATTTGAAACAAATACAATAAGAAACTATATATACTGTATGTTAGAGGTTGAAAACTTAAAATCTGTGACTGTATACTTTTTTTTTAATTAATAACATAATCTGGTTGAGATTTAGTTTCCCCCGAAACCACAAACTGAACCCACTGAAGCAGACATGTGTCGGAGATAAAGTCCCATGATGACATCACAGTTTTGAAGGTGGTGTCTGAAAAGAAACAGATCAAACTTTTGTCCCTGACCGTTAAAATAAAAACCTGTTTTATTTGGACTGTTGTTTAATGTTGCTGCTTCTGAAGAGAGCCTGTAGTGATGTTTCAATATTTCTGTGTCCATTGTATATTAGTTAATTGCGTTTTGCATAATGTGCCTGTTTTACCTTATATTTCGTCCCACAGTTCTATCTGCAGATGCTGCATTAAGCCTCAACATTTTAGTTGAACCCGTTTCCTTTATGACTTCAGGAACAATGTTGAGAAACCCTTCTGCGACCCTGTTAAAGAGTCACTTCAAATCACAACCATATTTTCTTCTTAAATGCCTTGCAGTATGTTAAGATGGAATATTAGCAAAATATCAGGAATATTGTAAGATTAATACAATACAGATGCATATCATTAAACATAAAGTTGTTTTGTTATAAAGATATATAATTTATAAAGAAATGAATAGTAATGATACGAATAAAGTTGGTCCAAGATGAGGCTTTAAATGTTTTGAAATTAATGCAGTTAAGTCCCAATTGTTTCCACGAAGCTTGGGAGAAGAACACATTTTATCCATAATAAGAAAAAAAAAGAAGCTTCACTTAAAGAATAAAGCATGCAGATTCTGCGTATAGTTAAAGGCGACCTATTGTGCTTTTAGGATTTTCCAGCCTGCCACTGGACTCACATCACATTGTACGTTATAGGGTTAAGGGCTGGACATCTCCATACAGTTGAGTTGACCAATAATAACAGAGCTGGCCAGCCAACCAATCAGAGCAGACTGGGCTCTGGTTTCAGACAGAGGGTGAAAAGAGGTGCTGCAGCACAGGCAGAGGCAATATGAGAAAAATAAAGAGGTGGGGTGGAGTACCGAGCTTCGTGACCACAGAGCGTGTGAACGTTGTGATCAGCTGTTTTAGCGCAGGGCTGCTGTACAGACCGACGTTAACAGCAGCCCTGTCTGTGCACACGGAGACCGACTCTGTTGTCCGGTGATCTAACCGCCTTCTGGAAAAGCTTCACAAGTACGTCGGTACGCAAATGCGCTTTGTGACACAAGTGACTGTACGCATTTCAGATTGTTGCCGCGCATGCGTACCTGCGTACCAGTTATGTGCACCCCTGGGAACAACATACAAATATGAACCTCAAAATTAGTATTATATGTCCTCTCTACACAAATTATGTAATTGAACATGTTTGAATGCTTATTAAGTCCCTAAACAGCCTTGAAATTGCATGAATAGGTATGACTGGAAAGTTAAGATGGAAAATGATATGATGTTTGTCTCCATTGCAGCCGTTTAACTGTGAAATCAATTAGTGAAACTAGATGTCACTGTATAAAACGTATGTGACCCCTACGGTAATCACAGCCTCCTGAAACTATACAAAATACAGTGAGGACAAACAGAGGCTTTTTAAAGTTGTTTAGATAGTATGAGTCTGTGGCTATTTAATAGTTAAACCATTTTTTGTTGTATTCTTTTGCACGCAGCTGTCTAGAAGAGTGTGTTGTGTTTGCCAGACTAACAAGCTCAGGTATGTCCCCACAACTGTGCAGAAATACAATAAACAAGATCATCTGATAATCTCTTAATCTACCAATGCAAATAAATCTCATACTTTCACCGGAACAAGGTGTGTGTTTCACTGGAAATGTTCAAACTGAAGCATTCACTTCCTCGTTGCCTCACCTTTTTGCCTTCTAATGAAAACAACATTCAGTTCTGAGCCACAAACGATGGTATGTTCTTTATTGTGTGCGAACAAAATGAAACTTGAAGGAAAAGGGCAACAGTTTGGAAAATACACTTACCTTGGTGGTCAGTCTCCTATTACAACAATAGCTGTCTTGTATTATCCCTACCATTAACATATTTTTCATTTATCTTATCATGTCTTTATTGATAAAAATAGAAAATCTACTAATAAAATAGAGTATTACATTCTCAGACTAACAGCCAATTATCTTCTTTCGTTGGTCTTTTGTTAAAGTTAGTTATCTTTGAATTTGTAATTTTAATAATTACTTAAACATTTAATTACTTAAAACCTATTGTGAAATTAATCGAGGAAATTATATATATATTATTTTTTTCATTTAATATTTTATAATATATAACGAAATTAATTAATACAATTATATAAATATATCATATGCACTTTTTTCATTTACTTACATTCTCATCAACTTAGTTTTTCCTTGTCTTGTGCTATGTCATGCCACTTAAGTCTATTTAATTGAATTTTCTTGAAGCTTCTCTGTGTATCTGAAATGACTAATATAGTATATTAAATAATGATTTAGAACCCTTCATATGACCTTCCCCAATCCCCTCCCATGCTGCCGAGTCAAATGAGGCCACAGCCCGCCTTTCAGACAAAACTCGGGACAGCAATCTCACATGAGTCAATTTGCGCATGCGTGGTCTCAAATCAATAGCAGAGCAGGACGAAGAGACAACTTTTAAACTTTATGTATGTTTTAATGGAAGTTTTGTTCAGAGAAGACCCCGTAACTAAACCGAGAATTGCGGACATTTGCCGGAGATCTCAACCTCATAGTCGGGGTTAGACATAAAGGATTAAAGGACTTTAGTTGAAGGTTTCTGGAGGACTCGGATAACGTGAGTGTCATTAAACAGCCTGTCAGTGTGGTTAGTTCACATGATGTTGTTTCCTCAGCCCACAGAGCTGTGTCTAACACCAAACACACGATTAAAAGGTTGAAATACAACGTTAATATCTTCGGTAAATGCTATGTGGTGAAGCTAACGTTAGCTAGCTTGGTGTTAGCATTAATTTGTGTTATTATATTTATCCGTAATTGTTAACCAATATTATTAGGTTCATGTTTCTGTATTTTCTGTAAACATTAGAGTTCATGTATATTCAGTGTGGGCCGTTTGATGTATCGTTTGGTGTACCTTTTCTCGAATACTTAATTGTATAATGCGAAACATGTTAAATGTTTTTTTTTTTAAAGCGTGCATTTATTAATGGAGTTTGGTTTGCGGTCCTGGTTCCCTATCAACGACAGCTAGTAAACAGCTCATGTCACCGACATCTTGTCATATGACATATGTCTTGTTTTCGGTTTCACTTCCTCAGTGAAAACAGGATTTATTTTTACTCATTTTAATCCAAGTTATTGTCTTCAGTCCTCAGAAGATTTTATTGTCCAACCCTACAGAGAAAGGCAAATTGATCACTTCTCAATAAAAACAAAAAGGCTAAAATAGTGTTTACACTCTGAAAGACCCTATATCCAACACTCCCTCAACCCTTGAAATAAATAATAATAATATATCAATATTAGCATTGACAAGGACGTTGATGGCCAGTTTGTGATGTATACGAATGTGTGTACCTCTATTTGTATGTTGTACACAGGGCAGAGTGAACACACACACACACACACACACACACACACACACACACACACACACACACACACACACACACACCATGTGGTGGTTCCAGCAGGGTCTGTGCTTCCTGCCCGCAGCGCTGGTCATCTGGACGGCGGCATCCTTCGTCTTCGCTTACATCACAGCCGTGGTGCTGAAACATGTGGATCCTCTGTTGCCTTACATCAGGTCTGAGTCCACACACACACACACACACACACACACACACACACACACACACACACACACACACACACACACACACACACACACACACACACACTCTTTGTTGCACTCAGAACAGGGGGTCTGCACAGTCAGTGTAACTTCCAGCATCATGGAACTACTTTTAGAGCGATCTGAGCAAAATATGTTTTTGTAGAATCCATAAAGTATAAAAAAACATACGCTATACTCAAGATATTGTCTCACTCCTCTTTCGATTTAGAGATGCTAATAACAAGAGTGCAACCTTTTATGAGGTCATTAGCATGCAGGATAATTCTCCTAAACTCCTTAACTCGCTTAATAATTTCCTTGTGTATTTTGCAGAGCTACAGTCAGTCATTATCATTATCTTTTGGACACAACTAATCAACGACTTGTTTTATTTTCAATTATTATATTCAGCTGGTATTGTTATTATTATTTTACAAAGCTGTTATTATATTTGTTTTGTTTAAAGAAACTGCCAAATCAAATCAAATTGTTTGTGTTGCAGCGACACGGGAACGATGGCACCAGAGAGGTGTGTGTTCGGCATCATGCTGGATGTGTCAGCCTTTTTAGGTAACACACACACACTAACGTCACATAACCCAATGTCAACACAGTGTTGAGACATTTCTTAAAATGTTTAGAGACTTTATTGATCACCAGAACAAGGAATTATGTATTTAAATGAATCGTGAGGTTAATTGATAGTCAAATTATTTTAGTTACTTTAAAATGTTTTTAATATAAGTTTTAAATGTATTGTGTCTCAATCTAAATGTTATAATAGGTTAATATCATTATCAATCTCATGATCAATCTATTGTACAGGAGTTAAATATTCTTCATTCTTTTATTCTTTATTTGTTGGATTTGAGAGATTTTAGCAAAACTGTGTCGACGTAAAATAATAATAAAAAAAAAAAATGTGTGTGTGTTTTTATATGTGTCTAGGAATGGCGACGGTGTACGTGCGCTACAAGCAGGTGGAGGCTCTGACGGGTGAAGAGGAGCTGAAGCGGGTCAGACTGAACCGCTTCGGGCTGCTGCTCGGTCTCATCAGCTCCTTCGGGATGTGCGTGGTCGCCAACTTCCAGGTGAGTGCTGCTGCTCTGGGATCAGTTCCTGCTGTAAAGTGTGTGAAGGCTAGTTCTCCTAAACTGGAAAACTTCTCAGTTCCTTCTTTGGTTAAGACATGTCATACAGCCTTTAGATGGACAGGATCTCAGGTTTAAACTTTGTGGATATGTCAACAAATATGAGTAAAGGTGGCTTCGCTGCCTTGACTGAGCTGAATCTGAGCTTAAAATCTCCAAATGTAATTTCCAGACCTACAGTCAGCCATTGTCATTAGTTTCAGGACAAACCATATAATTACATCTTTTGAAATTCAATTCATTCATTTGTTTTTTTGTCTTTCTTGCTTGTAAAACCCAAACGGTGTGTGAGCAGAAGACCACGCTGTTCTCCATTCACCTGGTGGGGGCGGTGCTGACCTTCGGGGTGGGGGCTCTCTACATCCTGGTGCAGACGCTGCTCTCGCTCTACATGCAGCCCCACGTCCACAGCAAGAACATCTACCTGGTCCGCCTGGGGGTGGGCCTCTGGACCCTCGGCAGCATCATCACCAGTATCCTGAACACAGCTGGAAACACACAGCTCAGTTATTCTTACACATCTATACATATTTATTCATATCTTCACTCATATCATATATATTTTTGATTCTATTATATTCGCTATAACTGGTGTGAACTCTTACCTGTCCTGTGTTTCTCTCTTTTTGCTTATGCTGCTCCTAAATCTGCCTACAGTAGATAGAAAGAGCATTTCTCTATGTGTAAAGTTTGTCCGGACTCACTGGTTACAAAATCTGTGTGAACATGCAAATGGCCTCCCAGGTGTCGTTGTGCGTAAAGTGTCTTAATTATGTCCCACAACTTGAACTTAAAAGTTTCCACAATAAGCCAAAAATATCTTCATGCCATTCTTTCAGCTATGCATCAGTACCTGGCAAAACAATGAAAAACAAAGTAATATAGTAGTAGTTCTTAGCAGTATTTTATTTTAAATTATAAAAAAAAAGTCATCCTGCAGTCGGGGACGTATACTTGTTTTGTGCCTAAATATAATGATTTTACCTTACACGTAGGAATTGGGCGACATAAGATTTAATCACACGTAAAAAAAACCTCACTATAACTTCAATTGACATTATCTGGATAGTTGTGAATATCCTCACGAGCGACTGTGTGAAGGTGTTTAGCTCATTATTATCATATAAAACAAAACTTATTTCTTTTTAATATTTGAAACGTTCTCATTTCCTCAACACAATGTACAGTTCTGGTCACGTGAAGCTCAAAACTACAGTTTCTTTAATATTGAAGCTACATTCAAATTCGATTACATAACTTTAGGGGATAAAAACCAGGACGTTATGGGAAATGCAGTTCAATTTGTGGTTGAGGCTACTCCCTGACACTTACATAGACAAATACATATCTTTCACCTGTATATAAAACATGTCCTGTTGTATTCCTTAACATCGTCCTCCTTAGTGTTCGTATCGTCGGTCATCATGTACAGCAGTCTGCCGGGGGTCGACGTCGCTCACAAACTGCACTGGACTCCTGGAGAGACGGTCAGTTCTGCATATTTTTAAGATGGATGAAATCTTGGGTCCGGTGTGGATCTGTTAGAGCTGCTACAAAATGAAACGTTATTTGACATATACAATTGTGTTTTTCACTTCCCGGGTGTTAAACAGGAGAAGCTAAACAAGAACTTTGTCTAAAACAAATATGCACTTTGGACAGTAACACGGCTCCTATCAGAATTACATTGATGGTTGGATGTGTATTTTCAGGGTTACACGGCTCACATCATCAGCACCATCTCTGAGTGGTCTCTGGCCTTCTCCTTCATCAGCTTCTTCCTCACCTACATCAGAGACTTTCAGGTACCTTGACCCCCCACAGTGGCTCTCTTAAGGTCTAATCATCTTCTATCATACGTAGGTCATATTTACTAGAAACAACCAGACAAATGATGAAGCAACAAAATAAATGGTGTATTTGTAGTATAGAGATATGATAGTTCCAAATGCATAAACTATGTAGTAATGGTGCTCTAGGAGGAGATTCAGGTGATAAGGTGGGCGGGGGGTTACCTTGGTTGGTTATTGGTTACACAAGCCAAAAAACATTGTGACATTACTTACTTACTTTCTTTCTTTCTTTCTCTTATTTTCTTTCTTTCTTTCTTACTTACTTTCTCTCCTTTTTTATTTATTTCTTTCTTTTGAAGAAAATCACCCTGCGTGCGGAGGCGGACCTTCAGAGCAGCCACCTGTACGACAGCTGGTCTCAGTCTCCGCATCACAAACGTGACGCCTCGGAGACGTCTCCTCTGCTAGCCGGAGGGACGTGACCGCAGAGCCTCCCGCTTTACACTAACCTTTTTTTAACTCGGTTACCTGGTTTTTTATAAAGACTTTCTCAAATCTGCTGTTTTGGGTCAGCATAGTTGTATCTATCCAGTCAAATCGTTTTGATCAAAGCATTTAAACACAACACACCTGGCTAATCAAGCCAAACTATCTGACTGGAGAGATGTATACATTCATTTTGTATGTTAGGTGAACTGACCCTTTAGATGCAAATGTGACGCTTTGCACTTTGACCTAAAACTGCATCAGTCCCTCTCAGTGACTTTGTCCACTTCACTTTATATCATTACTTGCTATTCAATTGAAAAAGGCAACATCTCACCACCTTAATGAGTCCATGAAGCCCACTGAGGGTCATATGGTTTCAACTGTAATGGGAGTTTACAGTCTGTGCATACAGGACCGTTGCATTTTTAAAAACTATTTCTAAGGATGTTTTCCAAATATGCTAGCAAATAATACAGTGTATTTTTCACAGTTTTTACTATAACTCAAATTCAAAAATATATTATAAACACCATCAAATGTGATAATCATTTGTATATCAATTACTAACCGGTTCTATGTTTTAACATCATGAATAATGTCATTTTAAAATAACTGATTAGCTTTTCATTTTCAATGTAATAATACTTTTTTTCATATTTTGTTGCTGCTTTAATATTCATACTGTTTTTAAAACGGTAACAACTCTTTTTGTTTTCCAGAAAATATTTACATTTAGCTTTTAGCTGAGACCAACAATGGTTTCCATTAACGAAACTTTTTGCACTATGAGGCTGACATTTGGCACGGAGGTTAAGTGTTAGTTCAGTTGTGTGTGTGCGAATGCATGAATGTGTGTGTGGATACAATATGTGATTTGTTTCTGAATATTTCATCATTCATTGTTTACTTAAATGTTAACTAGATAGCATTAATAATTTTTTGTTGCCTTATGTGTGTGTGTGTATCCCTGTGTTTCCTCCGAGGGAGTTTCTCCAGACTCCATAGTACCATCTGTCTATATCATATATTGACATATCTACAATATTTAATCAGACACAATCTCCTTACTGCTAACATTGAGTTGCTATTGTGCATTGTTCTGTTGCTACGTTATTCATGTTGAGAGAAATAAATATGTGTTTCTTGTTTCTTGCCCCAATGGTCACATTTGTCTCTGGGATATCATCATCATTCAAATATAATTATTCAGTCTTTAAGAAGAAACATATTTTCCATCTGAAGCTCTGAGCATGACGTGGTGATGTGAGCGGGCAAAGAGAGAGCCTGAAAACTCTCTTACTCTTCTGTCTTCTCATTGGTGGAGAAGCATTCAGATGCTTTACTCGAGAACAATGACTGACATACCACATTGTAAAAATACTACATTTCAAGTAAAATAACTGCATCAGGAAAAGTAATGAAGTAAAAATAAGTAGAATTATGTACTTAAAGTCTTAGGAGTAAAAGTACTCTTTCCAGATTATTAATTTTTTTAATATTTTAAAACAAAAGCAACAAATCCTCAGTTACGAAGCTGGAACTGTGAAATATTTTTGAACAAAAAACTTTTGAGCACAATTGCTAATTAAGTTTCTCATTTAAGTTACTTAAATCAAATGTAGGATGGTTTAATCTAAAGTAGTAAATACATCTGTAAAATAAATGTAGCGGAGTAAAAGTGCAAAGTTTCCAAAATGTAGTAGAGTAGTAGTATAAAGTATAAAACGAAAATACTTGTGTAAAGTACAAGTAACTAAAATGTGTACTTAAGTACAGGACTTGAGTAATTGAACACTGATCTTCATATTACATCCCTGTGTTCTCAAACAAACTCGACCACTTTCAAATCACAAAGTCAAGAGAAACCCAACACAGACGGACACAAGTACATGACAAGTTTTATTTTCTCATCAAATGTTGACATTTCTATGCAAAGCGTACATTTAAAAAAATATTCCCTCCTTCCTTTGGTTCCAGAGACCCCAACTGGTGAAGTTTGGATACTTGTGGCTTTTTGGGTTTCTGGAGCAAAATGAGAGAGACCGATCAACTTTGGCAAAATGATTTTATTCAGACTTTAAGGATATGGAAACCCTGATCAAGCACGAATCACACCGTCCACTGCTTCACGGGTTTCAGGAAATCTGTTGAACAGGATTTGATGTTAACTGTGAGCACAGGTGATAAAAGTCGAACAATATTACAACACATTACTATTCAAATATTATTGTTTTAAACATATGTACATACAATCATAACAATAAATAACAGCAAAATTAGAGAAGCAGCTTTGTCTGTACATTCAGAATTAAAAATATCTGATCCTTATAAACAACGTGGATAAGAATACAACAAAAAAGGTTTTAGATTAAAGTAAAATCTAGTCGTTAAAGGGTAAATTCACCCAAATCTTAAACACATATTCACTACCTTTTCTCTCCAGTCTCTCCAGATGTTTCTGAGATTTCAGCATTAAAAATGTGTTTTAAAAAATACAAAATCAACTTCTTATTTAGGAAAAGTGTCCCCAAGAAATACTGGATAATCCAGAAACATTTGATGGAGACAGATTTCTGATGTGGACCCTATTTTAACCCAATTCAAACTGTACAACATTTATTCTGGCTTTGATTGACAATTTGCTAGAAATTCAAATCGCAATTTCAATTTTTAGCAACTTTTATTATGTCATTAAAAAATATATATCTAAAAAAAACTAGCAAAAATGTCACTTAAAGTTTAATCTCCAAACTTCAAATTAGCTGGAACATGTACTAATCTGTTATTGAAATAAAAATAAAAAGTGCAATTTACAGCTGGCCGAGTTAGCCATTTAAAAAATTAGAGTAAATATGAAACTGCTTTTGAAAATCTCTATTTTAATACATTGTTATAGCATAGCAACGTCACTTTTTGGCTCTAATGTTATAAGTCTGTAGAAAACAGAAATGACAAAAAAACAGGAAGTTGTCCACAAGAAGCAAATAATAGATACAAATAAGAGGAAGAATCACATCTTCCTCTTATTTGTATCTATTATTATTTCTTCTTTACATGTAGAACGACGTGGTACTCATTAACAGAAAAGGCTCCAATAGTCTGACATGTGTTTACTAGAGGACTCGACTTGGGTGAACTGTCCCTTTGACATCAAGGAATGAACCAGATGAAGAGCTGTGGGGGAGCATCAGAAACACAGCAGGAAGTGAAAGTCTAGAGTAGACACTGAAAGTTCCCAGAATGCAATGCAAAAGAAGTAAGTGCTCACTGACTGAATGAACTCCACGTGCTCCTAAACTTAGTTTGTAATAATTTGATTAAATGCAAGAAGAACATTCACCATGTAATCTGCAGCGTCCCTGATACACACGCTCAATGTAGTCTTTGTTCTTAGATTTGCACTTTGCCTTGATATCTATGTTGAAGCACTTTGAATGGCCTTGTTGCTGAAATGTGCTTTCCAGATCAACCTGCCTTCAGTCTGCTGTGTTCATGTCAGCTGCTTTCTGTTCAGAGGGGTCCTCATACATCCAGGCCTACCACGATTCCCTGTGATGCTCAGGTCAGGTTAATGCCAAGCTCTCATCACTTTCCACCACCTTCTGAAAGAGAGACACCCAATGATTGATGAATTATTTGAAGTTCTAAATATATGCTTGAAGCTATGGCACGGCACATCCAGAACATTGGGGAGTTTAAAACTCGGGAGGACAAAGTCATAAAGTCATTTGTCCATCCTCTGACCTCCTGGAGGAGGATCCCTTTTTCCCAAACTCAAGTCATGTGAGCAGTGTTTCTCTGAGGACGCCGGGAGGATTATGGGGCGGACGGGCGTCAGTAAAAAAAGGCCGGAGGGAAATAAGGCATCGGTGTGGCGGGGCCACAGAAAGGCCGATCTGCACGATCCTGAACTCTCCATGCTGCTCCTGAACGTCTCTCCTCCTGAACGTCGCTCCTCCTGAAGTTAAAACGTTGATCCGTCACAGATGATGTTCTGGCCTCGGCCGGGGAACAGCTCCATCTGCCAGTACCGAGGGTCAGCGTACACTACACAGGGTCAAAGGTCACAGGGAACAGCAGTCAGTGATGAGGAGAACAGATCCAGCAGGCAGCGAGGTACAATCATGGCAATACAATATCTTTGTTAACTGTAGAAATATTTACACTGTTTGCTTAGTTTGCTGCCTGAAAGGACGACGCACAAACAATGATTTAGTGTGTGTGAGATTATCTATGCAAGATTTATTTATCTAAATTATATTATAGGGCAGTGACACAATATATATATATATATAAAAATTGTACAGTAGTCCGCTGTTGTAGTCAACCGTTTTGTATTTTTTCTTACGTCAACAAGATACGGTGTCAATTTGTATTCAGCTATTTCATGAGGGCATTATAATAAATTGAAAAATAATACCATATGTTTTTATTATACTAGAAAACAATTGTATATTTTCAATGTAATGCAAAGGGTTGTAATATACTTTTTTAGTTTTTGTTTAATGTTTTGTATATAAAATCCTTATTAGTGTTAGTAATTCACTAATCATTTTCTAAAAGACTTGAATACACACATTATTATTTTGGGAGGGGGACATCTTCAGGGGCTCCATATAAAACACATTGTTCATACAGGACAATCATAAGTTACACGTATTCATTGATTTGGAAATGTGTTTTAAGTAGAGATATTGTTTTGTCGAAAGGAGAAAGTTGATGTTTTTCTCAATGAAAGTGTACGCGGTATAAAACGGTGTTACCCATGTCTCCAGGGTTCAGCCACAGGTTGAAGGAGCTGCAGTGTTTCTGGCAGCGCTGGACAGGCAGGACTCGCACTGTGGGAAGACCCTCCCCCACCACCAGCCAGCCAAACACCCCCACCCCCTGAAACACAGAGCAGAGGCTGAGGGGTTATTTACGGTGAGTGATGGACGGATGCACTTTCAACTGCATTTTCACCCTTAGATCATTCAGACAGAAATGTATTATATCATGGAAAGGGCAAATGATGTCACAAGCCGCTGTCATGGAGACAAAAACATTGGGACATTCAGACTTGATCAGAAGAAAAGGGATTTTTTCTTTGCAAAATTCTATAATTGTATAATCTGTGTATAGCACCTTCCATAAAAGGATTGCTGCGTAAAAACAGGGTAATAGTGCCATTATTATTTAGAAAACAAATCTACACTTGAATGGCGTACTCATGCCTATGGGAGCAGTTTGGGGTGAAGTACCTCGCCCGAGGACACCTGTCCTGGGGCCTCATTTATAAAGGTATATAAGAATATACGCTCAAAAAATGGCGTACACCAGTTTCTACGCAATGTTTGCGATTTATAAAATACTAACTTGACGGGAAAATGTGCGGTCCTCCACGCAAACTCTAACCCATGCGTACGCACTAAGCACACAAACGGGAGAGACGAGAAACTGCGACACCGTTGGCAGAAGGAAGAATGGAGAGAAATATGTGGAAATAATACCATAAATAAAATGTTACCTCTCATTTATCAAATATGAAGAATTCATTTTCAAACATTGATTAAAGCCAATCTTAAAATGATTAAACAAACGCCTGTTTGAGACTCCTCAGTGCACACAAAAACATAACTTGGAGAAATAAATAAATACGGATATGTTATTTAAAACCACCTCGAATATGTTGTGTTGATGTTATGAAATGTTTTCTCATAAATTATGCGGTAAGCAGGAGGACAGAATTACGTCTAAACTGACGCCGTTTTGCATTTCTATAGGTTGTAGATACGAGCATGGTTTTATATACTATCACGTTTAATCGTGTTTTATGCCGTTTGCCAAGACTTGATAAGTCGCTCGTAAAACACAGGAGGTACAGTATGGAAACTAAGAACACCGTGGTAAATTGTGCAGCTAATATAACACAACACATTGTATTTCCTTTAACTGGTGGATTATGGATATATAGTTGCTGATCGACAGCTGGAACACAAACCACCAAATACAACAAAAATAATTCAGATCCAGTCGTCATGACTCCACTCCGGAGGGATTCCCCGATCATTTCTTAGTTTCTCATCAAGGGGGGTCTCCTGTCCCCGGGACAAACACACTGCCTGAGGAAGGTTATGTGTATTTTTTTTGTCATTAACTTTTTTCGGACCACTTATTTATTTATTTTGGTGACGATCCGACCTCCATGCTGCTACTCTGGTTCAAACTGCATCCACCAAACAATATGATTTATCTCGACCTCCCCACAATAACCTAAACCTGACACGGTGTGAGATGTCTTTTTTAGCTGTTCGGTCGTAATTTCCTGCGATCTTCTTCATGCAGTCAGTCAAAATGAATGAATGAATGGGCGTTTCTTTGACTATTTATAGGCAAATATGGGCGTTACGTGAAGCCTGCAAAAGCTGCGCCGCATTTCGAGTCGATTGGGGAACAGGCGTAGGAAGTAGAGATGGCAAATCCGGATCATTTTACGGACTCAGGGTCTTCTGAGTCAGTCATTGAAGAGATCCGGATCATACGAGTCATTTGAGTCAGCATGACCAAGACCGTAGAAATCCTATCGGTGAAACCGAAAAGTTGTTGCATTTCACGAGCATATTATTATTCCATATATTTTGAATATACATATATATATTTGTATATATATATATATATATATATATATATATATATAATATCTGCATGTATATTTTCTATTTCGACATGTATATTTTATATTTTATTTTATTTTTATTTCTATTCTTGCATATTTTGTAGTTTTGTTTTATTGTAAAATGCCTTATGCTGCTGTAACAACAACAATTTCCCAATTTGGGATCAATAAAGTACTATCTATCTATCTATCTATCTATTAAACTGACTGTTATATTAACCTCCGCTACACAGCTTATTTTGCTTTAATAAAAAATGTTGATCACAAAAAAAAGGGTTATTTTGCGATTTGGCAAATCTGAGTCTGCGAGTCCGCACTGCTGTGTGTTGCACACACAGTGAGTCAGGATTTGCGAATCCGAGTCTGCTGTGGACTCGTGCATGACGGACGAGTCTGCTGGATCTCTGGATCTGCTGCTATACGGTTACGGCTCCGAGTCTGATCTGCTGTGTGTTGCAGCGAGTCAGGATTTGCGAATCTGCGAATCTGCGAGTCTGCTGTTGGAGCCGTCGGCTCCTCTGAGTCCCCACGAGTCTGCAGGAAGTTTCACTGATCCGCGTCCCCTCCCCTGAGCCAAACGATCACTTCTGGCAGCTATCCTGTATACTTGCTAAAGGGTAGGTAGATGGACTTGGGGTACGTTGTAATGTGATTTTACATGTTATAAAGAGAGTAGCGAGTGACGCACTTTATAGTTTTAATTTGTACGTCACACCAAGTGTGGGAATCAAGGACTCGGGTTAATGGAGAGGGGAGACTCGTCATGACCAGCTCATTTCTAGGATCCGGGTTAATGATCCGGATGAATCAGGACTCGCCCATCTCTAGTAGGAAGTGCCGGTACGCACTTCCCTCGCCGGTACGCAATGTTTTGTGAATCGGAAAATGTCGGAACATTTCTGTACCTATTTTTTTGCTTTGTACTACGTAAGCAACCTTCTCACGTCAATCCTACGCAAGGCGTTATACATGAGGCCCCTGGACATGTTGACGGTCCAGGTGTAAAGATGTCTGTGTGTGTGTGTGGACTGACCTTGCTCTGGGAGTTGGTGCTGTGTGTGACCAGGCAGCGCTGCACGATGGTCCCGGCGCTGTCCAGCAGGGGGCAGAGCTCCGCCTTGGGGAAGAGCCACCTCAGCACCTTCTCCCTGGTCCCCGAGCTGAACCTCCTGCACACAAAACACCAGAAACAATCATAAAAACCCTCACCGACAATGTGCGGCATATCATTTCATAATACATTACATTCCATTTCTTTTAGTCGACGCTTTTATCCAAAGCAGCTTTCAATAAGTGCAAAAAAAACCTTCAGTAAAGATATCAATTCAGAATCCTGCAAGTACATTTGCTCCATAAAAACCTTATAGTCTAGTTGCCAGCTCATAGAGTCCTGCTGGGAACCCTGAAATGTTGAGTACACCAACGTTTTATGTTAGAAATGTATAGTAGGGGTCCCCAACACTTAGAAACTGCCGAATGCTAACTTGCATATGTTGGGCAACTTGCACAATTAGCATTGCATTAATAAGCATGAATTACCATTATAGCCTGTGGAGAAACTAGTGATATAATGGCTTGGCCAATGGGGACAATTTGGAGTGGTTTTGGGGATTATTGAGGATGCGGAGTCCATTTCTGACATTCAAAAATAGGGTCATATTAGTACTCCTGGTGGGCTGATTTTCATACATTTTGGGTCGATTTTGAAGATTTAGGGGACTCTGGATTCTCTGGATTGGATAGATTGTCAATTTATTTGAAGAAAAGCTGTCTACAGTAGAGATAATCATTTTCATCTTGTGCTCTCAATATCCAATGATCGCAACACTACACATCAGCACACTTTGATTAAAACTGCAATTTTTGATACTGAAAATGTCAGAAATGCATTCAGCATCCTCAATTACCACCAGAATCGGCCAAGCCATTTTTTTAACTATTGTTTACGTGGGCTATAATGCAATTCATTTCATTTAACGCAATTTATGCCCACTTGCCCAACATATGCAAGTTAGCATCCGTTTGTGCTGGGGACCCGTACTATACATTTATTACATAAAACTTTGGCGTACTCAACATTTCCAGGTTAACTATGCTGGAAACTAGACTATAAATCTAAGTCTACATTCAAAACCAATGAGTACCAGAGCAGAGTGAAGTTGGCGGGCCCCTGGGGGAGGCCCTGGTTGTGGCTGTGCAGACCGTCGTCCTCCTCCAGTAGGATGGACATGGAGTTGGAGTGAGCCAGGTAGAGCTCCTCCAGCTGCTGCCGCTGCACGCTGAGGGACTCCCCGCCCTGCAGGAGCCACATTACAGGAGCCGTTATTCTCTTTCCAGCAACGTTCAAACCTCTGCTAGTTCAATGCAACACTCACAAAGAGTCGGACAATAAAGTATTGTAAACCTAAAATTAAATCCTCTCATCGTTATGAAAATAGGACCATGCATAAAAATACATTATATAAAAAAGTATTGCTTAAATTAGCTCATTTTTAACTGCAGTCATGGGCAAGTAACAAGTATACAAATAACAATCAACTGAGATAGAAAAAAATGACATAGTCTCTATCACACTAGCTATTATCAAACAGGTTTTAGGGATTCTAGCATTAACAGCCAGAGTTTTAGTAAGTAAAGACCGACTAGGGAGAGCATGGAGCAGACAAATACTTTTACCAGAGCACAGTACTGTGTTTTCAAACAGGTCAATTTACCCAAACACGCAGTCCTTCTTAAAAGCCCCCAGCAACACCCCGGGACTAAAACCCATTACAAGTGGGCTGCGCAAAGATGCATTTTTGCTCTTACAATTATGAGATTCCAAACTCCTGGCCTTTGTTCATGTTCAACAGGAAAAACAAGAACCTTTTTAAAGAGCTACCGTGTAGAGTCTTGGACACGTTTAACACTAAAGAAGCTTAAAAAAAAGGAGCATATGTATCAGTAACTGTAATATTAGAATTCATTTGAACTCAAAACTCAATATAAGGTTAAGTTCATGCTTTTTTACACCATGGGAAAAGGAGTGAAAGTGTGTGGACGCTTTAAGTTCTGACCTTCAGCAGGACGAGCTGCGGCCCCCGCCTCAGAGCCACCGTCCCCCTGAGGCTCTCTGGGACCTCCATCACCGAGGAGATCTGAGCACAGCCCGAACAGTTGACCAGATTCTGCCGGAGAGAGCCGGCACTCCACCACTCATGGAAACCTGCAGCGCACACAAACACAGATTCACTTTAGACAAACTATAGTTCAAGTTGATGTTTCTTCCAAAAACAGATGTTGGAAAGTGGAGGTTTTAGGGCTGAAGCAAATGTATTTTGTCTTTGTTTTATCATTTGAGGCTCTGTATGTCTGTCATATTGTATTAAAGGTCACCCTACAACTAAAGAGAACAAATACATTGTTGCTCATAGTGATTATTTCATTTACGGTGCCGTTAGATGAGTACAGTTGTGAGCCTCCTGTAGTCACATGTGGGAGAGCAAAGTGTTTATTGACCACATTAAGTGTCTTTAAAACGATGAATGGATTGAAAGCTAAATATTTAGACCACATGGGAACAATCCTACGCAGCAAACACTGGACTCTAGTTCTACAAACAATAATATTAGTGTAGCTTAATCTTTATTCGCAACTAATCACATATGTCAGGATTACAAATAATAAATACAAATGCATAAGAACAAAAATATTATATTCAAAAGTGTTCATATTGAAATATCCAGTACAGCTCTAATTGGACTCCCTCCTAAAAGAAAAATAGCATTAATTTGTTCACCCTTTAGACACCCAGTACTTTCTAATGAAACCTGTGTTTGTGTGTCAGTGCGTCAGACCTTGCAGGTTGTACTTCTTGGCGATGGGCAGGGACAGCAGGCGGACGTGGCTGAGGGGGGACGACCAGTTGTAGCAGCCCAGGTTGACCAGCCCCAGCTGGGGGGCGCTCTGAGGGTACGTGAAGGCCAGCACCACCACCAGCAGGAAGCCCACTGCCACCACAAACTGCACAGACCACAGGGATGTCACTTCACTCTCCTCAAAGCAGAGACTGTATGCTCTTTACTCTCCAACCACAGGCAAGTGTTTAACAATAAAAACACTAATCTACTTACTAGAGATTGATTTCGGTCAGTTGGATCTTGGCATGAATTGATATTCATTACATATTTAATAAAATACTATCATTTATAATAAAATAAAATTGAGGACATCTGGATTCCAGCTATAACCTTTCAAAACAACAAATTCTGAAATGAGAAATGTTTGCATATACAGTATATATATATATATATATATATATATATATATATATATATACAAAAATATTGGCTTGCTTTTATAACCAGGTTGGAATCTCATATCCGTAATAAGACAAAAGCGTCTTTTTGAAACCTCAGATGTTCTCAAAGTGCATCCGTTTCTCCCCCAGGCCTATACTGAGACACTTATGCATGCCTTTGTTACTGACTCTACCTTCTGGTCTTATGAAAGGTATAATTAGGTAGACGTTGTGCAGAATGAAGCAGAACCTTTCTGACCAGGACCAACATAGCAAACATCTCCATTGGCTTTCGGTCCTGTCAATTGATGACCCTTTTAATTGTGTTTAATCCCTTCATAGACTAGCACCTGAATGCTTGTCAGCCATGCTTTTAATTAATGCTAGCTTAAACACTTCCTCTGACATTTAAATATTCCCAGGGTGAGGGCTGAGGCAAGCATTTAGTTCATATTGTCATCGTCTCTAGATTGAGCATCACAATCTCTAAATACCTTTGAACAAAATCTAAAACATTTATTTTACCTTAAAATTATTTTTATTTTCTCCCTTTCTATTGTTAAGCACCTTTTATTGCAACTTTTTTTACGTCTTCTCTTTCTCTATTAGAAAAACATTTGCCTTTTTCCGGGGCCCAATCACTGCTCCACCTGTCCCCAATACATGACCAAATCTGCCTTCAAATTAAAAGCAGGGTGTGAGCCTTTCAGGCACTTTTGTAAGCTGTTCCTTGTTAGTAATGCTACCGTCTTAACTCTTGCATGTTATTACTTGTGTTCTTTTGCTCCTCTGGATGGAGTAGAGCCCAACATGGCACATCACATCTGATCTCACTGAAGCATATTCGAGTGTCATACTGCACCAGAGTGGTCCTCTGATATCAAGGACACTGACCTGGCCATTCTGAAAGGACGTCCCTGTGAGATCATAGAAGTGACTAACTTTCATTCTGGAAAGCATGGACATGCCAAGGTAAAACCTGCTTGTTCATCCTTTGGCATGCCAGGAATGCAGCCTGGTGCCTCCAGTTTTACAAGGCAAGGCAAGGCAAGGCAAGGCAAGGCAAGGCAAGGCAAGGCAAGGCAAGGCAAGGCAAGGCAAGGCAAGGCTATTTATATAGCACCTTTCAACACAAGGCAATTCAAAGTGCTTTACAAAAAATGAAAGACATTAAGAAAATGGCATTTAAAATCAGTCATTAAAAAGAAAAGATAATAAAATAAACATTAAAAGAAAAAATACATGGATAAAAGTTACAGCTGCAGTTTAAGATGTGAATAGTACAAGTAACCAACAATGCAAATTTGGCCCTTTACTAAGGAGGAGATCTTCGGGCCTCGCCAGAAATTGGATGAATTAGATGAGTGAGGTGGATCTCATCCTAAATGCTGTCTGAGTTTACCAATTCTATATGGTATAAAAAAAAACAATATTATGTTTGCATATATTGTAAGAAAAGGTTAACAAGTCATGGGTACTGTCCACAGTACTGAATGCATGTAAGTCACTTTGGATACAAGTGTTTAGTAACATGTAATGCTAAAGTATCTTTGAGACATTTGAATTGTTTGGCTTTCTCGACAAAAACTACATTTGACAAGACTACACTGAACACAGTCGGATAACGCTACAATTTACCTTCACCTTTTCAATTCTTTTTCGATTAGAGCTTTAATTCACCGAAGTTAACTCACACGACATAAGTCTAATGGCGTATTGTCTGTTAAAATAACTCAATTATTTTTTAAATGTTAGATAACCTAATGCTATTGCAAAAGTGTGACCCTCAAAATGAATGTTTTTTTCAATGCTAAACTTGTGTGTCACTTGCATCGAAAACTCCTCTGTAGTTGTGACAGGATATACCGGGTGTTTCTCAATCGCGAGTACGCTGGCTTGGTAGCACATGTCTGCCGAGCATCTTGCTTCAGAAACAAGGCAAGAATACTTCCTGCCATTCGGAAAACGAAGAGTGGAACAGGCTAGCAAGTGTGCAGGTGTGCATCATATGAGAGGCCCCGCCTTACATTTTCCGCCACAGATTTGGGGAAATTGGTCCGTGCGCAAAGCATTGTGGGGATTTTAAGACCGCGGAGTCTACACATGTGCAGCCTCGATATTTCTCCAAACGAAGTACGCCGAGCTCGGTAGATTTCCAAGTATGCTGGAGATTGGAACAGTACTTCGGCGGCACTCGATGACGTAGTATGCTTGAAATAGTGGCTCTGCAGCAGCTTTACTCGCGATTGAGAAACACCCACCGTTTGGAAACTGTTTGAACAGATTTTAAAATGACCAAGAATCTTTTTCTGACCTGGTTAGAGGAATTTCTTTTCCTAAAAATGTTTATTTCAACAGGCTGACTTGACTCATCAAGCAACTCAGGCCCTACTTGGGACACAGCTCAGGGAACCTTAAACAAAGGCTGGAATATTCTTTTCATGAGCTATGAGATATTTCAAAATGAAATGTGGTTGTGGTAGCTGTTTAATAGCAGTTACATTGGATTTTTAAGAATGCTTTGCAGAGTTTTCACTTGAAAACAGGATGCTGCTCAAATGTTATGCTATAAAAGTATCAATAAACTGAATGGTTTGCTATGTTTGAATCCAAAAAAACAAACTGTCATTAGAAGAAATGTCATTGCAAGAAAATTAAAATGAATATCAATCCACTGCATTAAAATGCTCGCTTTTAAACCTCAATCAATGTCGTCAAACAGGTTTTTCTTTGGCTTAATTGTGTTTTCCATGGGCGCTGTTAGCTCACTTGGTGAAGTTGGTGACCCATACACTGAGGCTCAGTCCCTGCTGTGAAGGATTGGGCCCAATTTGGACAATTTATGTGGTCACCAAAAAAGTTATTATTATTTCTCTCACACATCCAAAAACCTTTAAAATCACTTTACAGTAATGGCAAACCTGCGAATTAACCACATATTTTACAGGCTGTAACTGCATTTTAAGTACTTTTATGTGACAAAGGGCTTCCTTAGTTCATTGAGTATATTTTCATTCGATTAGATGTTTTAGCAGTGAAATATTTCCCTGACCTTTATGGTGGCTCTCAGGATGGGGAACTGCGGAGGCTCTCTCCTGGGCTCGTTGGTCTCCAGGACCTGCTTGATGAACCTTTCGATCTCCCTCTCCGACATGCCGTAGCGGTATCCCGACTGCCGGAGGATGTCGATGCTCTCGGACAGTTTGTCGTAGATGCACGGCTCACTCATCGTCGTTCCCATGACGGCAGCGGTCACAGCGGCTTCTCGGTCAAACACGTTGATCTTCAGCTGCTGCGGGCTTCAGGAGCATGGTGTCACCTAGGTAGTCATATTAAATGTTTACCACCACACCATTTCATAAACAACTACATATCATAACTAACCTATTAAAAGGTGTTGTTATATTATATTAATTATGATGTGCAATCTGTGCATGGTTGTAGTGTGCTGTGAGTCTGGACCAATGGACTTCATGCCAGAGCCACTTATTCAAACAGGTTTGTTGACAAGCGCATGTAAGAGTTATTTTAGATCATTTGTGGCAATCATCAATAGCGAATTTTCCCTGAAGTAGGAGGTAACATGGTGCAGACATGTTGTATTAGTCTTATACTGATGTCTAAGGTGGCCGATAGGTGCACTGCAAACGCACTACAACAGCATACAACATTTCCATTAGCAGAAACTTGTTGCACTTTCAAAAATTATGCAAATATAAAAAACACAAATGTGCCAAAACACATGCAAATGAAGAAACATCTTCACGAACTTGACAACACATGTGCAGCATTCAGAAAGCATTCTCCAACTTCAAGAAACATGTGCAGCGGTTATTAAAAGCGCTGCAAAAATGACAGGGAAACTAAAAAAGGATGCCAACAGCTGGGACCAGACGGAGTGCTTGTTGACGTTCAGGGATGGATTATGAAGTGGACCAACTGCAACTGTCCCTGAAAACGTTCCTAAAGTTTAAATAAAACGTTTTAAAGGCTTATTTTAAATATGTGGTTGCATGATTCCTTCCGACATTATTGCAGATCTGCTGTAAGCTAGCTAGCTAACGTAGCTAACCTAGCAGTCATTTCAAATATACTGACAAAACACTTACAATAATGAAACAGACTAACTCTGCAAGAGTGACAGTTGGAAGTGTTTTGGGCTGTTGTAGTGCGTTTGCACCCGTCAGCCACTGTAGATTCCCCTCTCTACAGTTTGACTAAACAACTGGAGTTTAAATATGACACATAAACTTAAACTAAATATGTAGCTAATACAATGAGAGATTATAGGTATTATGTTATGTGATGTACCAGATCGTCATCATTACATGATGCAACATAACAAGATTTTAAAAAAAGGTAGAAAAACTTTGTATAGGTTAGCTACCATTCTGAATTTAAAAAAGGCAGTTTTTTTTATTAACCTTAAATTATTCAGAGATTAAGATTATAATCAACATAACTAAAACACATAATCATAGCATAAAAACACAACAGATGACACAACTTAAAAAGGAACTAAAAACCAAGAATAGGGAACTCACATTTTACTGGTTACCAAAAAGTGAGCTTTGTAACAGGAGTTTAATAACATTGAAATCTTAATGAATCTGCCTCTAGTTCTTTTATTTAGGATTCAAAAGCATTCAACAAGATGAATTCACTAAGTCTCAGGTATATATGCAACATATTCCATGCCAGGGTTGCAAAATACTTATATGCCGTTTGGGACAGAGAGCATACTGTAAAGAAGTCCTTTGAAAGCAAATAGTACAGTCAGGCACTTATCTGCGTAATAAACATGCTGATTTAAAACACAGTCAACTTTTGTTCATGTCAGCGAGGACATGTAAGAGGAGACAGTATGAGCTCCCAGGTGTCCTCACAGAGACAATAACAGACTCCCAGGTGTCCACATGGTGACAATAAGGGATGCCCCTACATGTAAAGCAATAAATGGACTTGACAAAGAAAAACTCGTTTTATCCCCGTCACGCTTCGTTGAGTAGTTATATCTATAAACCATAACACTCTAGAATCTAGATAATATAGATTATCTTGCTTGGTGGTTGTTACAAGCAATTAAGAGTATGTTCAGTTTGCAAATTCAAAAACATATTTTTTTAAATAGGACGGTAGACACATTTTAAAATCAGGTATGATAATTATTGTGTTTGAAACGTTTTTGCATAGTTAATCTAAGTATTTAAAGGGATCCTGCCCAGATATAATATATAAGGGTATGATATAATTAAGCTTCACCCTTTACAGTTAATACATTCTGTTTCCCCTTTATTGTTCTGTTTTAAGTGCATTCTTCTTGAATTGTGTTTAAAATAAGAACAACATATATTACTATAGCAGCTACTACTTTAAAATGGATACATTAAAATTAAGTACAAGTACTTCAAAACTGTACTTAGCGTTAAGTGCTTGAATATATGTACTTTTATTTACATTCCATCACTGTGTAACACAATAAATACCACCAGCCCAGCTGCTGCTATTACACATTGATATATAATGTCACTAGAAACTCAGTGAGATTAACGCTGATGATCAATAGATATATGTTATTAGAGAAAACGTACTGACATTATAAAAAACAGCACAACAGAGCTGCTCCACTGACAGCGGTACAGTGGCTGGTGTTAGCCTCGGCTTGTTAGCTTTCATTGACACTTTACGTAGCTTCAGGAAAATACAAAATACTTTATCCTCACCTTTAAAGTGACGTCCACTGCCTCTGTGTGGGTCTATCCATTCCTACTTTAAATACTAAAATAAATGTTTTTTTCTCCAAATAAACTAGCTAGTTATGGGCATGGCTAGCACTTTATATATAATGGGTAAGCACAAACAGCTAGGATACTTCTTCTTCTACGATTTTTTTTAACGTTTTTAACTGAGGGTTGGTAACCAGCGTTACCGCCACCTTCTGCTTCGGAGTTTAAATAGGAGATTAAATCATCATATCAATTATTCCTGTTTATCAGATAAAAGAATGGGAAAATAAACTGATTTATTCGTACGTAGATTCGCTTGATACATAGGTTATTTATTTGTTTTATATTAGGAGTTATTACAAGTTGTAACCACCACCTGATTTTCTTAGGAATGCAAAAGACAGGAAATCCCTTTTAATGGGGGATACTGGGGGAAATGTATTCAAATTCATATAAGAATATTTACTTGAATCCTGATTAAACCAGGCAAAATACATTATGTTGGTAATCTTTATCTTGTTTTCATAAATGACTTTTTAGTAATATTCATTTTAGTCTGCCTGCATATAGAATTTGACAATAAATATATGACAAATGGTTTTATTATGACATTATCAGACTCCTAAAATTAATGATACATAGTCCTAAATATGCATTGCCATCAAAGCCAGCAAGTACATTTACGTCTCCTTACTCGAATTCAATTGCTCCATTACATCATCTGATAATCCAAGTAATTAAGATTAACCTTATTGACCACTTGGTAAAATTCACTAGCTGATGAACGTGTTAAACATATTGATGCATTTTAATACAATAATACAATCAATATAATTCTGAAATGGGCGGTCCTGTAAAGAAAGTACTTTTAATTTTGATACTTAAAGTGTAGTTTGATAGTAATACTTTTGTACTTTTAACATTTTGAATGCAAGACTATTTGTAACAGATTAGTTCTACACTGTGATAGTAATTTTACTATTAAAATATCTAAGCACTTCGCCCACCTCTGCCTAAATGTTTTAAAATGTGTGACAGTTGTTCAGATAGTTGTATGCTAATTACAAAGTAAGCATATTAATGAATCCGTCTGAAAAATTCTGAAAAGCTGCTTAATTCCTAGACCTCAATATATCGCTTGAATTGTGTGTGAGACGATCTCACAATTTTGAAATTCCTGATTTTCACAGGACAATTCCAGTTGTAAATCATTTAACCTTAGACTATAGACTTAGGTTTTACCCATAGGTTTTACCTAAACTTTGTGGGAGGCTGAACCCACGTTTCAACGCAAATCAGCCAATGATAGCTCAGTTTGTTTAAAAGGAAGTCCCACCCCCCGCTTCCGTGTCTTGTGCAACAGCAACACCGAGCTGCGTCAAGCTGCAGAGAGTCACAGGATCAAGCTGCAGAGGACAAAGGCAAACTAAAGAAAGTAAAATAGTTTCAATAATGTAATGTAATTGTATTTGTATTTTATTAATGACAATTTCTTATGCAAACTGAGAACAATAAAGAAACCGATACAAAAAATTAAAATATCGAATGACAAACAGAGTTATCACAAAATAAAATAAAAATAGTATTTAATGTTACACCGTTAAAAAACATACTTCTTTTGAGCATTTACCTAAAGAGTATTTTTTGTTTGTTTAAATGGATAGGGGATACTATACCACTAGCCTACTATACATCATAGTGTCTCATATATTTGTATATTATGTTAGTATGTTTTGATTTTTGTATTAGGTTCTTTATTATATTTATATTACATCTTTACGAAAACAGCACACATTAGGCCTTTATTTATTGATTCAGTCATCATAAGTCTGGCGTCTCGTCTGATGCACATCATGCACTTGCAATGTTTTGTCTTCATATGGTTTTCTGAAGTTTTGTATTCAACTCCATTAATATCGGTTTGTATATAGGCTATCTTAATTTAAAATATTATTTAATCTCTATATTCATCTGTTCTAATTATATCTTTAAGCTGCCGTAGTAACCACATTTCCTCTGCGGGAATCAACAACCGTGCATACTATTTTGTATCACTTATACCTTTTTTTACAAGTGATAAAACGTTTTATTTTGAAAGTCATTACAGGAAGTGCTAGTTGTTATCATGTCTACCTTGACACAGCGATTTCATAGCAAAACATGCATATAAACTAAAACGGGACAACGTTTCTCAAACTAAACCAAACTTCTCTCACGTTTAACATTTATTCTTGAATCGTGAACCCATCCGTTTCTTCCACGTAAACCAGGAGGTTATACGGGTTCAAACCGGTGTACTCCAGTGCTGTGTTCACGGTCAGCGTGTTGTTGTTACCGGAGGTCAGCGTGTTTCCAGCTGAAACCAACCCACCGTTCAGATGCTTTCCCAGGGCAGGACCATCACCTCGCTGCTGCTCAGGCCAGCCTCCAGGCTCCCTCTCTGGCTGGGAAGAGCCGCCAGCTCTCAGCCGAAAGGTAAGAGCACGTTAGCTGATTATTAGAGCCACATAGCAGCTAACATTAAGATAATCCAAAAGTGACGCAGTTGAGTACTTCACAACATATATAACCTAACTGATGTAACGTTATGTGATCACTGCTTTTAAGGTGAGAAGAAGGCCTTAAAAATGCAAAATGACTTCAAAACAACAGGTCCTCGAGAATAAGTTGAATGACAGAAAATTAATTGACAGAAATGTTTACACGTAATATCATATTTTTAGTAATTTAAAAATAATTATAACTTTATTCATCCTGAAATAGCGTATTGGGCCAAAGCTTGCTCAACATTGTAAGCCTAACCAATAAAAGAGTAATGAATAAAAGGTGTACGAGAAGTAATACAAACACCAAATGTAATGAAATAAGAAAGTTGAAATAGTTAAGTAATGGCGTGACCTGCCTGTTATCCAATGCAGTGTTTTGGTCCAGGATCTGCAGATCAGTTGAAACGGTTGACTGTGAAAAACAGCTGACTGTCGTTTGGTGTTGAAATGTAATGGATTATCATTATTTATTACCAAATACAATAAACGAACACTTACCAAATACATTGTTCATGGTTATGAAGGGAGGCCTATTTAGTTACTATTTTATTTATCCTTTTTTTTTTTAAAGGGCGACAACGTTTTAAAAGCTGACACTATAACTGAATTACTTTTGTTTACCTTTTAAATGTTGTTACATTTCACATGAATTCTATTATTTTATTAATGATGTTGTAAAGGCATTTGTATTGAGTTTTTATTTTTATTTTTGTGCTGTAGAGTTGATGGAGAAAGATGAGCTGCGCCCGCTCTACATGGACTTCCAGGCCACCACACCCATGGTAACTGCTACCAATCATATTGTCTTGGTCACAAGGTCATCAGAGGACGCCCGATGAGTAACTGACCCTAATGCCCCTTTCACACCAACGCGGTTCCAGGGCCGGTTCGGAGCTAGAGCCTGATAAGCACAGGTTTTTCCTGTTCACACCGCAGCGGAGCCGGGTCTTTGCCCCGAAAACCGGTTCTTACCAAGCTGCAAGCTCCAAAAAATTGTCGGTCTAGAAGCAAGAACCGCATACGTCGGAGGCGGGGGCAGGGGCGGGATCAACCTGGCAAATAAAAGTTGTAGCAAGCAGTAGCGCTGAGCAAAGTGACTAGAACGCAACCACACACTTTATAAAGTCAGGCAACACTAACCAGGCTTAGTGTGATTCTGTTTATTTGTACCTTACTTTGACCATCCTTTCGCTGCGTTGATCATTGTGGAGAGCAGTCAGACGTTTTGTTTTGTATTATAGCAGCTATCGGATGGAATCAATACACGGGCTGCACGGGTTGTCATGTCCGACTATCACAACTAGAATCATAATGAAAAATACGCCGATAAAATGTGTCAGTAGAAAACGGCTTATGCCACAATAGGATAGCAACAAGTAGTCAAGATAGTCAGTTTAGCTTCGGTTGCTATGCTAACATCACCCATTTTATACCAAAGAAACTTTCATAACAGTGTTGTGATAACAGCGGGCAGCACTGCAGCGGTCGGTAAATGCCACTGAAACACATTAATAAACAATTAACCACGGCACTCTGGAGAAAAGTACAAGGGTTGAGAAGTAGTTAATTAATTTAATCTGGCTTCGTATGATTAAAAGCAACACGATCATCGACCCGACGCAGTCCCCCATTGTTGTTGTTGTGAGCGCCGTTGGGGAGAAAATCAGCGACGTAAACGGTGACGTCATGACGCAGCCGCGGCAGCACCAGTCATGGGAGCCTGCCTGCAGGCGGCAGTCTCAGGACACCTCCACTCTCAGGACAGGAAGTGCATGCACGCTAAGAATTACAAAATAAAATCGCCACTATCAGTACAGCGCCACTTTCCGAACAGGAAATGCACGCAAATACAAAATAAAATCGTACTGACACTTATTATATACATATGTATGTATATATATATATATATATATATATATATATATATATATATATATATATATATATATATATATATATATATATATAAAAAAATACGGACACCTTGTATTGTTTACTCTCAGTAGCCAACAGCACCACTTTCCGAACAGGAAATGCTCGCTAATACAAAATAAAATCGCACTGACACTTATTATATATATATATATATAACGACATCTTGTATTTTAGTTACACCCGCTAGACAACAGTGGAGGGTTCGAGAAGCAACCGTGTTTGCCGGGGGACCCCTGAGTCAGACAGTGCGTCTTGGTCACGCTTCATATCGGCCGGCCCGGGAAGGAAGAGACACGCAGAGTGGGGGAAGTCCCCCACCCCAACGCAGCACACCCTCCCGGCCATCAGAGTCGAACCCGCAGTTCGGAGGAACCGACCACCAGAGTACCGGCACTAGGCCCGGCCGGTGGAGGCCCTCCGATGGTGGGTCGCGTTTGCCATTCGATCAGTGAGAAGAGAGGAGAAAAATGCAACAAAAATGGTCAAAATCCGTTATATCGATATATGGATGAGTGTGGGGGGGGAAACGGCTGGACACAGGCCATGGGGGGACACCCGAGACCGGGCAGTGTCCCCGGTAGAAGGAACCGGGGAAAGTGAAAAAAAGAAAATAGGCACTCGTGAGGCGAGCAGAGTCCCCTGTCAACTCCTGTTACATTCCTCCATGGTGTCATTTGAGCGAAAAATGGCTAAGTCAACTTTTACGAGAACCAGGCTGGTGCATGGTGAGCGGACTCATCACCTCCGTGATGATTCTCCATTGTGATTTGAAAACTTCCATCAGACGTGTCCTTCGGGGGGCAGGGAAAAAAACATGTTCGTCAGAATCGTCACTTCCTGTACTGAGAGTGGAGGTGTCCTGACAGAGCCTACACCGGAACTGTCCTGAGAGTGGAGGCCTGCAGGCAGACCCCTCTCGCACCAGTCGGGCTCTGGGCGGTGTTTTATAACGGTGGCTGAAAAGAAAAACCGTTTCCGAACCAGAAGAGCGCAAGCACAGAGCTAGAACGGGAACCGCGTTGGTGTGTGAAAGGGGCCCAACTGCCACTTTTGACTTATTATTTTGATATATATATTTAGATTTTATTACACATTTTTCAAGACAGACACACAATACAATCATAGACATACTGTAGCTATCAAAAAGACAAGACAAGACAAACAAATTACATGTTACAGTGTTACTTTATTGTATGCATGTGCCTCAATTTAATACATAGTGTAACCATACATGCATGCACTTGATCTTGCATCAATACATGACTTTTTACACATGTATTTGTTTGGGTAGGACCCCCGAGTGCTGGACGCCATGTTGCCCTTCCAGGTCAATTACTACGGTAACCCTCACTCCAAAACACACGCCTTTGGATGGGAGAGCGAGAGTGCCATGGAGACAGCCAGGAAGGTAGGGATTAGAGAAACAATCAAGTTATACAAAAACAGAAAAAAAGGTTTTCAAAAAGCTCTAGTAAATGTCTACCCATTATATAATCGTCTGCTGCAGGAATGAGTCAAAATAAATGTTTTTTTAAATAGGATTTTGGTAAGATGCCTGAAACACGGTCTGCGGTAAACACATTTTAGATGACTCTATAAAACACGTTAAATTACTAAATTAAATGTCTGTAAATGCCACTTATGAAGCTTTTATTTAAAAGTGATTGCTAAATGAGACTTAAGAGGTTTACCGGCTGTTACAGTCTTTTTGTGTTTTTATTTGTGATCTGGCAAACTGAGGAAAGGATTTTGTAGAAAAGGTTATGCAAGCAAAGTCTGTAGGCTAGTGGTGGTGACTTAGGTCAAAGGGCCATTGTGTCGTTTTTATAGCTTAACAACAGTTATTTTACTTTTTGTAATTGCATTTTCAAGTGGTTTTAATCATGAGGATTATCTACATATGTAACTATCAAAACCTTTTGTTTGCCACTGAACTTATTTTCTCTAGTATTAAACAATAACTGCATTTTGGTTGAGGAAACCAGGATAATTCTAAGTGCCATGTTGGCCAAAAGATATATCATCCCTGCATCACTTGGTTCTTTTATAAATACTTAACCTGTTTCTGATTCTGAACAGTTTGTGCTCATAACAATGCACTGTGTAGTGTGGTGTAAACCATTATTTGCTTTTATATTTTTGTATGTTTATTTGTTACGTAAAATGTGTACTTAGTTGTGTATATAATTTGATTAACTCTGAATTGGAGAGAAAGAGAAACTGACTGTGTGTTTTCTCTCTCTCGTTGAGCAGCAGGTGGCTGATCTGATTGGAGCAGATCCCAGAGAGATCATCTTCACCAGCGGAGCCACCGAGTCCAACAACATGGCCATCAAGGTCTCACTCAGCTCCTCCTCTTCATCACTCCGTCTCGCTTTTGGTCACAATAGCTCTCTGAGCGTTGCTATATTTTCTCTGCACTGTGGTGCATTTTTTTAAATTTAAACAAACAAAACATTATTGAGAAAGGAAAACAAAGATTTTGGTTGCTAACAGGAAAGTTCAGTTCAACTGTCAGCCCTTTTGTGGAGCAGTTTATACTCATGACAGAGAAGATCAAATAAAACTGAGGCATTTTTTAAATAGTTTTCACAAATGTCGACTCCCTTGCCCTGCGTCCCCTCGATTAGTTCTCTTTTAATATATTTCTAAATTAATAGAATAGGCTTACATTAGTGAACAAATCCCATATAATCACATAACGGTAGTGGATGGAAACAAATTCTACTAGAATGTGTGATACCTGCTGTTGGAGTACAGTGAAAAACAACACTGAGTTTTAGCCCAGTCTTTAGAGTCCGTGCTAACCCTGCCTCTTCCTCTCCTGCAGGGAGTGGCACGGTTCTACAAGGCCAAGAAGCGTCATGTGATCACCACGCAGACGGAGCATAAATGTGTTCTGGACTCTTGTCGTGTCCTGGAGTCTGAAGGATTCAGCATCACCTACCTGCCAGTCCAGTCGAACGGACTGGTGGACCTGGAGGTAAACACAGAGTAAACATACACAGCGAGTACAGACAAGATGCACAAGTCATTGTTTCTATAAAAAACTGTGTGTGTGTGTGTGTCCAGCTGTTGGAGGCCTCCATCCGTCCTGACACCTCTCTGCTCTCGGTGATGACCATCAACAACGAGATCGGAGTCCATCAGCCCATGAAGGAGATTGGTAAGCATGGCAACACGTTATTCGCTCCACACATTGGGCAGGAATCACATTTTAGAATGACCACATACAGTGTTTCACCTATGACCCAGGCCAGGTTGAGATCCAAGATTCAATAACATTGGGCACAGCAGACACCTCCATTTGTTCTTGAAGAGGTGCAGCATTGATAAGTCACAATGTAAAGTAGTCATTAGACAGTAGTCCACAATTGTTGTTGTTTCATAGTGCAAACGTATTACTCAACACTAAAATGGGCATGCACAAATTGCGGTCATAATTTCCCAAATACTCAATTTTACAAATAATAAATCTATATCTGCATAAAACTTTCATACACAGAATGCAGCTGAAACTGGACGCAAATACAAAGTAACCAGAGTTTTAAAATATATTGATACATTTGCACCCAAGAAAGCGTTTTCAAATATTTACGTCTTAAACTGTTTTTTTTGTGTGTGTGTTTTTAAAGGCCAAACGTAGAGGAGAGGAATCATGTAGATCCTTCATCAGATTCCTGTACTTACGTTTTTAAGTCTGTGATTTAATTTAGTGTTCTGATCGAAACTGTTAAATAATTAATCTGTACTCCTTCTGTCCACAGGTCGGATTTGTCGCTCTAAGGGAGTCTTCCTCCACACTGACGCCGCTCAGGCTGTTGGGAAGATTCCCCTCGACGTCACAGACCACAAGATTGATCTGATGTCCATCAGCGGCCACAAGCTCTACGGCCCCAAAGGTTAGCCGTAGCATTGGTCTAGATATGCTTTAACTGTTATCTCATTAGACAGTCTATTAATGCAGCTCATTGCATCAATGTGGCAGTTCACAGTGCTTTCCAATTGCATACAACTTGAAATGTGAAATGGCTGACACTGTTAAAGCTGCAGATGCAATCCAAATACTAAGAGAAGCTGAAAGTGAAAGTGTCAAAGGAAGCTCAAGTTTCAATTTCAGTGCAAACGCTGTCAAGTGTTGACAATATTTGAAGAGATTTAAGCAGTGTATAAAATGTCATTGACATGTAACAGGTGAAAGCAGTTATAGTGAAATTGAAAGTAAGTAAAACATGTTATTAAAGAGTAAGCAGCATGTATTAATAGAACAGATGGGAGGCAAGTTGTGGTGATTGTGGTGCTTTCAGTGGACCTGCTTTGAAGTTACATTGCCAGTATGTGTGTGTATACAGGTGTTGGTGCTTTGTACGTGCGTCGGCGTCCCAGAGTGCGTTTGGAGCCTCTGCAGAACGGGGGCGGACAGGAGAGGGGGCTGCGCTCCGGCACCGTCCCCACCCCTCTGGCTGTTGGGCTGGGAGCCGCCTGCAGCATCGCACAGCAGGAGATGGAGGTATACAAGCATACATGAAACACCCTTTCTCAATTCAAATGTTCAAACCAACTGAGATCCGTCTGTCCACCGCATGTACGCACACACACGCAGCTACACACTGTACAACACACACCTACACACTCCTACAGCATATAATATATATCAGGATACAGCCGTTGTGTATTTTATTATGTGAAGCACTATATGGTTTTAGAAAAATATCTGCTCTTTGTTGTATATATCTACTAAAGCCTACAAATAAAGAGTAATTTAGGCCTGTTATATATATTATTGAGGGATGTATATTATTCTCACTGTTCTGCTTTCTGCACTAACCTCAGCAGCTGGTGTCACTGTAAACATCGTGTTGTGATTAAAGCAGTTCTATTAAAAACACAAGTAGCTTAATATCAGTGGATGCAGTATGCAGAGCTGTCATTGGTTGAGATAAGTCCAACTGTGCGTCACGCCTCCTTTTAAACATCACTGTTGCCTGAAAGACATCCCCGGAGGATACATCAGTGTATCCTCGATTATAGCTCCTCCAGAGAGCCTCCTCGATGCTCGATGTGCATTTAGAGAAATGAGATGTCCTTCAACATGGCGCGCTGAAATCGATTTCCGGGTCACTACCGGAGGAGTCGAGGAGGCGGAAATTTGACGATTGAGAAAGGGCTATTGAGGGAAATGTTTCCAAACATCCTGGTAATAAATGTGTGTGTGTTTCTGTGCAGTATGACCACCACAGAGTATCCATGCTGGCTAATCGTCTGATCCAAAAAATCATGTCCGAGCTTCCTGATGTGATCATGAATGGAGATGCAGAACAACGCTACCCCGGTAAACACACAGAAGTGAAACTCTTGCACAAAAACACACCACTGTGACATGCTTGAATTTCAGACTAAATGAGTTTGAAAGTGCTTGAACCAAAAGTCAGAGGTTATGTTGACATGTGATGTCGACAAAAATGTTCTTATTACAGTAGTCAAGCGCCATGACTGTTTCTGACTGTTTGTCTTTGTGTTTCAGGCTGTGTCAACCTGTCCTTTGCCTATGTGGAGGGAGAGAGTCTTCTGATGGCGCTGAAGGATATCGCTCTGTCTTCTGGGAGGTCAGACACACACTTTATATAATAAAAAGATTCTTAGAAATGTAACTTTACCGTTTCGTTTTTGACCATTGTGTTTATGGATGCTTATGTATGTGTGCATAATTATTGTCCCATCAAAAGCTGCCATGATTAATCAACTAATTGATTAGTCAATCAACAAAGAAAATGGTATTAATCAGACACATTTTATTAAAATGTATGCAACAATAGCAGATAATGCAATTTTTTGCCACTAAAACAATGTATTTTGGTAAGAAACACAATTGTTGACCAGTGAAACTCCACAGCACAAAGTGAAAACATATATACAAAAATGAATGATTGTTTGTTTGTGTTCTCACAGTGCCTGTACGTCAGCGTCTCTGGAGCCGTCGTACGTCCTCAGAGCGATCGGAACTGATGAAGAACTCGCCCACTCCTCCATCAGGTACAAAGGCTGACATCATCACCGTATTATGTGTTGCCAGAAGAATTAGAATGGAGTAAAAATGTAGAGTAAAAAAATCTTAATCCTGAAAAATTATCCTGTTCATAATTCCAAATCATTGTTTTTGTGGAACATTTTTTGAACAGCAGAGATTTATGGACAAAAATACATTTTTCTTTTAATCTCAAAGACTAAAACATCTGTCTGAACATCAGCAATTGGAGGTGATTTTCTGTTCTTTGGTTTGACTTCAGATGAATGATTTGGAGGTTAATGTAAATGTGTGTCTTTCTTGTGTGTGTGTGTGTGTGTGTGTGTGTGTGTTAGGTTTGGTATTGGCAGGTTTACCACAGAAGAAGAGGTGGACTACACAGCGAAGAAATGTATTCACCAGGTCAACAGGCTCAGAGAGATGAGGTGAGTTCAACTGCATCTGTGTTTTCTTCTAACACAGATTATTCCGCTAGTTTGGTCATCATCAATTCAATCGGTAAAAATAACTCACCAAAGTTATATCTAATAAAAGGGTCACAGTCAGTCAAAAGAAGACTAACGGAAAGAAACATGAGCAGTCAAACTATCTCACTGGTTAGTGTGGAGGAAATTCTTAAGAGAAACTGATAAATGATTCATGGTCAAAGTTTGTCTTTTGTTATATTTAATAAATATACAAGTGAAATAGATCTCAAATGCAGGAACAGAGTAACATCATCATCCTCAGAGGATAAAGAAGTTCTGCACCCCGAACACAGCTTACAGTCCCACTATATACTCATGAAAGGAAACAGCCAACTGGTCCTACATCCCATCATTAAACCATAAAACCCCCTTGTCCTTAACCATTTGCAAATCCGCCTTTCACACTTCCTTTTGCCCTCCGGAAATGTAAATTCTTAACACATGTCTCTGTTAAACACAAACGAGACTAAACCGAAGGAGTGGCAGACCGGGGTGGTGGTTCCCCTTTTCCAAAAAGGGGGATCAGAGGGTGTGTGCCAATTATAGAAGCATCACACTACTCGGCCTCCCCGGGAAAGTTTACTCTAATGGCGAGTTTCCACTACAGCGCGGAGCCCCGTTTAAGAGAGCTGTGACGTCAGCGGCCCGTTTTTGGTTGCGTTTCCACTTGGCCTAGTACCGGC